CCTCTCCTATAAACTACAACCTTCTTCCCAAAGCAGTTGCCATGTTTATTCCCACCTTGGATGAACCATGATGAAGACTTTTCTTTCAACACTGGCATTCTAAGTTCTTTAGCCCATTTGTAAAAAACATTAAAATTGATGTCTTGCTGATACTGAGAATAAGCAATCTCATATTTAGAGACTTCAGCCATTAACATGTATCAACTGTTTTTTTTTTTTCTTTTCAGACAAGCATATATGAATGAAGAAGTATATACAAATTTTCCTTCTGGCCAGTATTACTCACAGTTTAACACAATTAGCCGATGATGTTGGAGCCGATATTCACTCTCATACAGATGTGTAGGTTATATGTTTATACAAATATTTCTACTTTCTTCACATATATAATAAAAAAAATCTAACTTTACTGATGATTTTCTTGGTCTATAGAGATTGCAACTATGGGGTAGCCCAATTCAAAAAATGTTTGATTTATGAAAAGGAATGAAAAATACAACAAAATGATGCAGATTGTAAGCACCAATTTCAAAATGGTGCTGTGTTCTATAACAACATCTGTGCAAATTGCCTAGACCAGATGGATTATACCCCGGGGGTCTGAAGGAACTGGTAGATGATATTTCGAAGCCACTGAATGAAAGATATTTCCAAGCTCCTGTGACACGACTGGAAAATTGCTGATGTGATTCCACTGTACAAAAAGGGGGAAAATGGATCGAAGAAAATATAGGCCAATCAGTTTGATAAAAACACCTCGGAGAATCCTGCAAAAGATAATCAAATGGAGGATTTGTGAGTACCTAGAAAAGAAAGGTATATTGGGAAAAAGGAAAATAAAGCCATCAGAAAAGTCAAGATGGTAGTTGTAATGGTGGAATAACTTGGTTTTTATGGGTGATACACGTCACAACTGCCGTTTTGACTTTTGGGGGCTTACTCTGCAAAGACCGTTATTCAGGCTGAGAAATCTGAATGACCACAGGATGGCAGAAGGCAGTTATAGAAAACTATTTTAGCACATTTCCACTTAGCAGTCATCTGGACTTTTACTATCCAGATTTGCTACCCCTAACAGAATAGCCAATGGGATTTTTTTTTAAAAGAGCCACTTGATTTTGAAACTGTCCCCTCAATAACTTGTTTTTGCTGCTGTCTTACAGCAAGCAACAGAATAAATTGTCCCCTTCCTACAGTCACAAAATTTAATCATTGTTTTAAATGTCCATATGCTTTCAAGCATGTGGGAGAAGCATAGCATATCTGCACTGATATAATACAAATAGTCCTTGATTATGAGTATAATGGAGCCTGCCCTTTAATGGTCACATGTTGCAATGGCTATTAAGAGAAACCTCTTACTTAATGACTCATCTCTGCTCTGGCCAACACAATCGTCAAACAATCATGCAGGCTGTTAAGTGGCGCACAAATGCCTCTCCCAGGGGTGGTGTGCTGCCCCACTCCCCCCCCCATGTACAGCAAATGTTCTACAGGTGTTTATTCAACACCCCCCCCCCAAACAGGTCCTCAGAAAGCACTCCTCTTGCTCAGGTCTGGATTCCAAGCTCAGCACAGCAAGAGTCATTGGATAACGAAGATCAAAAGGCACACACAAAGTCCACGAGTCAAACAAGCCAGGATACACAGCACAAGGCACAGAACTGGGCATGTTGCTCCAGCAACACTCAAGTCCTGGAGGGGGGATTAAGTAGGTTAAGTAGTTGCCTCCTCATGGGTAGTCTAGCTGACAGGTGTTGGGCCTGGCTCCTCTCTGCTCTATGTATTCCTTGAGTCAGGAAGAGGTGTGGACTTCATTTCCTCCTCTTTGCTAACAGGCAGCAACTGTTCCCAGTCCTTCCCTGGAGCCTCCTGGCCAACTCGCTGCAGCTGTGGCTCACCTCGCTCTGCCTCAGCTTGTCACTGCTCCAATTGACCCAGCTGAGGCTGTTCCATCAGGCTAGCATTCTCCTGATCAATACTAGGCTGCGCCCTTTCCTCTGCAGACTCAAACTCACCCTCCTCTGAACTTGCATCCAGAGAGGGGCCCAGGGGCACATAACAGGTGGGTAGTCCCTTGGAGATCTAGCACAGGCCCAGGCCTGCCTGGTCTGGCTTTCCAAAGCCCTCCTCCAGGCATCCAACACTCTCCTTCTCCGTCGGGATTGTGTGACCTGCTCCCCAGCCAGCCATGCAAGGGAGTCTAAAGCCAGTTGGCAGAAGCGACTGGCAAATGGAGGAAGTTACAGCCTGTAGCACAAGGCCTGCTTTCCCATCCAGCCACCTGGCCTGCTTATCTTCTGGGTTTTTTTTTTTTTGTTGAAGATTGGAAAATTAATAAAATATTATTTTAAAAAATCTTCTAGTCTCGCAATAAGTACTACCATGAGCTCCTCTGCCAAAAAAAAAAAGGGGGGGGGATAACGTTGCGTGCTGCTGGGTTCTGAAGTTGGATGAGAAAGGCCAAATCCTGCAAGTTCCTTGGGAAGTTGGGTGGGAAAGCAGGCCTCATCCTACAGGTTGCAACTACCTCCCAACACTGGTTGTTTTTGCTGACCGGCTTTAGGCTCTCTTGCATGGCTGGAGCCAAAGCCAAGTTCATCCACAGGGGGACCCAAGTCATCCCCATCGAAATCAAGGGAAGTGCCCACTTGGTCTCCTCTTTGCTGGCAGATTCCTTGCCTGGAGAGGAGATACTTTCAGTTGGTCCTTTGGGGGGAATTTCAAGAGGACTTCTGAGTGTGTGTGTGTTTTGACACTAGGGGCTGGGGGTGCAATAAGTTTAGTTTGTTTTGACTAAGCTAGAGGTAGGCAACCTTGGCTCTTTTATGACTCGTGGACTTCAACTCCCAGAATTCCTGAGCCAGCCATGCTGAGGGGAAAGGGAGAGGTTTCCAAGCTGAGCCATGCTGGCCCAGGAATTCTGGGAGTTGAAGTCCACGAGTCATAAAAGAGCCAAGGTTGCCTACCCATGGTTAAGCAAAGCCTGGCCTTGTTATTATTGCAACACAAAAAGTAAGTGATGAGAATAATGGAGCTCAAAGGAATCTTAGAGATCATCTGTCTGACTACCAAGTACAGCATGTTTCTCAACCTTAGCAATTTGAAGATGGGTGCATTTCAACTCCCAGAATTCCTCAGGCAGCACCCAGGATCCTCCCTCCATGGGTCTTTCCAAACTTTAGCTGTCCTTCACGCTGCCTGTAGGGGCAGTCTACTATCTGACCTTTAAGTCTTAGCTGTCCTTCACAGGCAGCGAGAAGGAAAGCTAAAGCTGGCAAAGACCCAGTGTCCTCCATTTTGTGGCCCAAGCCTCTTTCCTGAGGTGATTCTTTTTTCCCTCCATTTCAAGGGGGAAAAAAAAAAACCACAGAAAGATTTTCTTTTAGCTTCTCCTCTTTTCTTCAGCCTGGAGTCAAGGAAGGTTTCCCAAAGGGAGAGAGGTTGGCGGACTGAGGGGTGGAGGTGAGTTTTACCACCTGATTTGGGGGGGGGGGAGAAGACCAACAGCCCCTCCCATTTATTTTGCAACAGTCACAGAGAATCCCAGGGCTGGAGGATCCCTCGGAGGTCATCCAGTCCAGCCCCGCTTTGATCCTCCGGTGTGCAGTTTAAGGACATTCCGTGCTCTCAGCTCTTATGGGAGCATTGGAGGGCCTTGCCGTCATCTTTCACCTACCATTTTTTCCCTTTTAGTTAACAGTCTTTGCCTGAGAAGACCTCTCTTTTCGCTTGTAGCCCTTCCTATGGAAAAGTACACAGGCTGTGGGGTATATGAGGGTGCACCCGTAGCATCTATCCACAACTAGATGAAAGATTATGACATAATACAAAATGTCACGACACGTTTCCCTGTGCAGATTGTGAACCGTGCTATTTTATAGGGTCCCTCAACAGGGCAACCTGCTGTTGTCCAGAAACGTTGGATTATTTCTCTCATTGGTTATTAAGTGAGGTATATGAAAATTATTTCTTTCAACAGCTTGGAGCATGATTACCTAAACAAATGTGATCTCATCCAGCCACTCCTGGAATAATGAAATGGACTCAGAGATGATGACAAATGCATTTATTTCCTGATCTATATTTAAATTCAAAAGGTGAGAGGAAGAAAAGATCCTGAAATATGGAGGACAAACATATATACTTTGAAAGGAATTCCTTTATATTAAAGATGGGTTAATTTCTTGTTTTTTTTTCCCCTCTCTATTCCTTATATATAGAGCCAAAAGGGAAATTGTTTTCTTTCTAGTTCTGCGTAGCAAGTTTTCTTCAAGCGGGAATTGGAAAGGAAGAGGACATAGCGAGTGTTTGCATGAAATGAGTTTTAGGGAACAAACATCTATTTAATCCAGAAACAGAATTTACTTCTTTGAAGGTAAAAAAATGAAAACATGGGCCAAAGAGTAAGTAGCTGAAACCACAAACCAAGAAATTACAAAAGGAAGAAGGAGGGTTGGAATGCCAAGGAAGAAGATCATGAGGACAAAAAGGCATTTGATGAAGTGAGCTGCAGCTTATGAAAACTAATGCCTTTTAATACAAAATATTAGCCAGAAAAGGAATTATTAGACTCCTAATTTGCTACCAAGAGTTCAGTAGGATTTCTGAATATAAATGGTTTAACCCCTCACATGCTTGGAAAAGATTCATTTGTGAAACTAGGCAAAATCATTCAAAATAGATACAGATTAGGAACATGGGGCCCATCATTTCTTCTCAATGATGGTCCGAGCCTTAGCTGTCTGGGGCTATGAGGAGTTGAACTAACAACATAGGAAAGGCTACATGTCCCCCAACATGTAGAGACTCAAAAATGCAAAAACTATCTGAGGAATTAGAAGTAAAAATTATCTGAAGATTGTCACAGGTTTTCTTGCAGCTTTTGCAACTAATAGATTTAATACAATTGGCTTTTAGTAACATTTGCTAGTTGGAAAAGGGGGTACCAGATTGCTTTTAAAAGATTAATCGTAATTTATCTGAAAGAGATGAGTTCGGTGGGAGGCACCCATGTAACCTAGATGTGTTTGGTAATCAAAACCCGAACCATCAAATTATTTGCTACAACCATTCAGTTTTGGCAATGACACCACAATGAATATAGCAATTAATATAAAACATGTGCCTGGAAATTTATTCACATTGTTTTCTTTGTTATTTTCCCCGATGCCTTCCAGATTTGAAGGAATAAACTAGACAAGCAGAGCTCAAAGTGTAGGTATGTCTTATTTATTTTTTTGGAGTTAATCTCAGTCACTCTTAATTTGACTCGGTGGCTCTTTAAAGAGCAGTGTGGTGGTTTAGCAATTCAGATACTGGGCTTGTTGGCTGGAAAGCCAGCAGCCCCTGCTTCTTCCAACCTAGCAGTTTGAAAGCATGCAATTCTGAGTAGATAAATAGGTACCACCTAGGTGGGATGGTAACAGCACTGTGACATCATGCTGCCATGTGACCATGGAAATGTGCTGGCTCCCTAAGTGCTGGCTTCCTAAGCCAGGGGTAGGCAACCTTGCCATGCTGGCTCAGGAATTCTGGGAGTTGAAGTCCACGAGTCATAAAAGAGCCAAGGTTGCCTACCCCTGCCCCAAGCCAAGAAATGGAGATGAGCACCACTCCCTGTGATTGGCAATGACTAGTGGAGTAAAATCCACAGGGACTCTTTACTCCTATAAGACTCGTGACTTATTCTACTCAATATCATAAATCATAAATCAATTTAATAGCCCTGAAGAATCCTTCCCTTTCCTCCCCTCCCCTTCTCCAAATACTTGGAAAAGGCTCTAACCTTAGAAGGTCTGGATTGGAAATGAAAGTATTCCTCCTTAACTTATCATGCCCACTGGAAATCAATTCTACTCATATCTATGGCGGATCACCAGAATGGGTTTGACCTTGCAGAGGTAGCCCTGAGCACGCTGCAACACTGCCAAGCCCTCAAGCCACACTGTGGCACATGCCAAGGATGGAAAGCTTTGCTTGCTTCTCTACCCAGTTACCTCCATGGCTGAGCAAACAGGCTAGAGAGGGTACAAGCCTCTTGCCACCCCTTCTCTAAGGGACAAGGCCAGTCTCTGCTCTCCCCATGTGAAATTGAAGTGAATCATCTCTAGACCAGGAGAAGCTTTCCTCCCAAGATCTTTTCCTAGAACCCGGCTTTCTGGGATGACTTTCTGATTAGTGCTAGTATTTGGGCACCAGCAAAACAAGCCTTCCATTCCATTCAGAGGTTAAACTAAAATAAAAGAGTCTGCAGGGAGGAAAAGGGATCAGTTGGTAGGAAGAAGCACTACAGGTAGCCTCAATCTATGACTACAGTAGAGCCCAAAATTTCCATTGCGAAGCAAGGCAGGTGTTAAGTGATTTTTTTTCTCTCATTTTACAATCTTTTTGTTGTAAGTGTACCAGGTGGTGGTTAAGCAAATCTGGCTTCCCCATTGACTTTGCTTGTCAGAAGCAGGCTGGAAAATTACAAATGGTGATCACATGACCCCAGGAAAGTGTAAGTTTCATAAATCATAAATACATGCCAGTTGCCAAGTGCCCGAATTTTGATCATCATACCAGGGGGATCCTGAAAGTTCTGACACTTTCCTACCAAATTAAAAACCTTTGTTCTTACATTCTTACAAATAATCGCTTTATTAATTCTTGTGAAGTATTCTTTAGGTTTATTGAGACCATATAGGTCACTAGGATCACATAAATAATCTGTCTTCCTTGTGGTGAAATACATTTATTTTTCCTTAGTAATTCTTCCATTAGACATTTAAAGGCCCCTTTTCTTTGTATAATTGCAGGAATAACACTTTGTCACCATCCCTAGTCCATATGTCAGCGGAGTCCATGGAATCGCAGTGTCTTTAATCCTTCGTCCAGCCTGGGGAGATGATGGTCCAGTCAGCAACAGTTGAAGAAACCACATGAGTTCCAGGCATCGTGTGCAATTCTGTCCCAAGCTGCTATGCAGTCTAACGAGAGACAAATCATATGTTAAAAAGTAGCATCAAACATACACTCGATAGAGGGGAAAACCCAGATTTGCAGAAACTCAAGCATCTCTTAGTCCGGGGTAAGCAACCTCGGCTCTTTTATGACTGATGGATTTCAACTCCCAGAATTCCCAAGTCAGCTGTGCTGACTTGGGAATTCTGGGAGTTGACGTCCATCAGTCATAAAAGAGCCGAGGTTGCCTACCCCTGTCTTAGTCCAACCCTCCACACCACCAACCTGCTGCGGCATACTAAAACTGACCACAATACCACAATGTGACCTCAGCTCCATCTTCAAAAACCAAAGGTGAAAGTTCGATAGCAGAAAAATCCATTCTTGAAGTGAGGAGGATGGACCGAGTATTCTAAACACTAATATCGCAGGATTTATTGTACTTTAAGATCAGAATAGAACAGAGCAAATACAACATTTATGTGCAATAATTGAAAGTTGTAGATGAAACAAAACGAAAGGACTTTCCTTGGGAAAGAATGTTTGTGCTTTTCATCCTTCCTCGGGGGGAGAGGAAGTTATAGTTCTTCTACAACTAGGTCACCTGAATGCGGAAGAATGTGAGACAAATGAAGGAAAGAAGGTGGCAAATGGAAAGGAAGCCTGTGTCTACCAACAAAATGAGAACACCTGAAGGCCGAATTTGTGGAAGCGCCTGCTGGGCTTCAATGAGCTGGAAGAGACGGAAAGAATTCCATCGTACCGTTGCCAAAGTGTCTTGCAGAGTCATTCCCTGTCTTCCCTTGGCCCATCGACACAAGTATTAGCAGCAAGACATCCAGTCCAAGGATTCCTTAGTCCACTGTCAAGTGGAACAAGAGGAAAAAGGTTATATGAGGATGGGATTGCCGAGAGGAATGGGGGACACAAAGTTTACAACCTTATTTTAAGCTTGCTGCGTATGTTGATCCTAGGTTGATGGCTCTCACAGTAGAGAAGCTGACTCCAAGCAGCAGAGAAATATCACCAGCTATATCCCTCAAAAGTGCTGTCGAATTCAAGCAAAAAAGAAACATTTGCTAAGAATGTCTATTCTCTGGAATCTCATGGCCAAAATATGCAATTTAGGCTACTTTCTTCTCTAGGCCTCTGGAGCCATCGTCTTTGTGGCTGCTCCCAGCTTCTTAAATCCCAGCCTTTTTGGAAGGAGGAAGCTTTGGGGTGGCATTTCAAGCAAAGGACCCTATAAACCCACATTTTGTCTTTCATCTGCAATTCTGGCCATGGCGCATTACAGTTAGAGGCCTCTTTGTGAAAAGGTCCCTGCAAGAAGGAAAACAGCTCTTGTGACAAGCCAAATTCCCCTGCTACTTGATTCCTGTCGTGAAGAACAATCCCCCACTTCAGTTGTTCCCACTGGAACGTTTCATTGCAGCTTCTTCTCTTCCTGAAATGAAAGACAGATGATGACGTGTGAAACATTTTCCCAGCTGTTCCAGTATCAGAAAGGAACTCCCAGAAATGATGCTAAAGGTGGTACCTCTGAGATATTCTCCCCTCGGTTTTTCATGGAGGACATCCACATGGACCCAGAGATCTTCAGGAGCTGCGACTCAACGTATGGGTCCATGGCTGGAGAAACCTTGCTGTGAGATCAAAGGACATAAGAGAGATCAGTGCCCATCTTAGTGAACATCCCTGGGGTTCATTTTTCCCGAGGGAATAGCAGGCAAAAGAAAGAAAAGACTCACCTGATGTCATAAACTGCAAGCATTGCAGCTAGTCTTGCTGTGAAGCTGCTTAAATTGTTGTCCTCCATCAGAGCCTGGCAGGAATCACGAATGGAGAGAAGCAGAGAAGGGAAAGTCAGCCGTGAAGCTCCAGCCCAGCCCTTCCTATTTCTCCCAGCCCCTTTTCACCTATTTTTCTGCTACAGCTTCCCTCTCAGTACAAAGGAGGGTTAGCCCCAGGTTAAGGACCCTTTGCACAGGCCATATTTTGTCAGACCAGGGGTAGTTTTTGTCCCCTCCCTCTACTGCTCCTGTCTCTCTGTCCTGCTTTGCTTGCCTCCAATGTCCCCCTGCCTCCCTCTGACCTACCAAGACAGCCAGGCCATAGAGGTTCTTATTCCTTGGCTTTGGGACTGCCATTTGCCCGCTCCGCTTCAGCCGAAACAGAGTGGCGATGGAAGAGAGGCCTTCAAGGATACTGCGCTCCTGTTGCAAGAGAAAAGAGTCAGGCTGTGAAATTGGGGAGGCTGTTGGGCAACCTGCCCCCAGGATCTCCCTTTCAGAAGGGAAGGTTGAAACCCTGGTGGGCCTGTCCCTATTTATGGACCTCTTTGCATAAACCCTGGCTCCTCCGTTGGTCCCTTCTATGGCAGGCAGCCTTGCAAGGAGCACTCTTCAATTTTGATGCCCCTTTTTGTGAAGAGAATCTTCTTTCCAACCGTGTTGTTGCTGGGGAAATCTGGGAAACGAGAGGCAGGTGTTGGGATCCTCACCAAATTTGTAGGTCTGCCCCAGAAGAATAGAGCCAAATAGAAGCAGAAGAACTTGTGGGGAATCAGGATAGACGCAGGAGCTGTAGGACGAGGGACACTTAGTGGGTCAGGAACAGCCTGGCCTCTGACCCGTCCCACTGTGCAGCCTTGAATCTGCACAGGTGCAGGTGTATTTCCTGTACTGGTAGACCTCAACTTGTGGACCATCACTGAGCTCAAAATTTACCTTCATTAATGAAATCATCCTGACTTTCACCCATCCCAACGTCCACCTGAAATTGTTGAAACGCCTGCTGGGCTTCAATGAGCTGGAAGAGACAGAAAGAATTCCATCGTACCGTTGCCAGAGTATCTTGCAGAGTCATTCCCCATCTTCCCTTGACCCATCAACACAAGTATTGGGAGCAAGACATCCAGTCCAGGGATTCCTTAGTCCACAGTCAAGTGGAACAAAAGGAAAAATGCTGTAAACCCTGCATTTCTACCCTTTTCTTCCAAGAGAAAAGGTTACATGAAGACAGGATTGTCAAAAGCAGTGGGGGACTCAATCTTATTTTGCTATTAAGTCACCCACTTGAGAGTTATTGTGACAGCTTTCTTGCCAGTTGTTTTCCTGGCTGTGTCCCTTTGATCCACATCCTGGCAGAGGTGCCACCATTCTTCCTTGTTTGGATGAAGACATCCTCCTTTTTCTTCTGGCCAGCAAAGTTCAAGTACAAGAGAAAGATGAAAAGAAAATTCCTGCCCATCTATGTCCTTCCCCTAGGTAGGGAGGCGTTATCTTATGATAAGCAATTACTTTCCACCTCTTCCTCTTCGGTCCAGTTGATTTTCAACAACAGGGTGCATTCTGCAACATATGAAACTCTAAACCCAGTTCCAGAAGAAATTTAGGCTACTTTCTTCTCTAGGCCTCTGGAGCCGTCCTCTCCCTTTATGGTTACTCTCAGATTCTTAAATCCTAGCCTCTTTGGAAGGAGGAAGCTTTGGGGTGGTATTTCAAGCAAAGGACCCTAATAAACACTTTTTGTCTCTCATCTGCAATTCATCGTACTGTTGCCAAAGTTCCTTGCAGAGTCATTCCCTGTCTTCCCTTGGCCCCTCGACACAATTATTAGCAGCGAGACATCCAGCCCAGGGATTCCCTAGTCCACTATCACGTGGAACAAAAGGGGAACGCCCCCCCCCGCATCCCTGCCCTTTTCAATGAAGAGAGAGTTATTTGAGGATGAGGTTTACAATCTTATTTTCAGTTTGCTACATACTTTGTTCCTTCTTATGAACAGAACCTCCTTCGTAGTCCTGTCCTTCGTGGAGAAATCTGGGAAAGGAGAGGCAGATGCTCAGCAAAGTTTTAGGTTTCCCCCAGAAGAAGAAAAGCCTCCAAAATCAGACCCCTCTTTGCAGGCCCAATTTCCTTTTGGGGAAGAGCCCAGCAGCCCTTCTGAAGACCTACTTACACGCTGAAAGCCTCTTCACTCAGATCACTGACAGTACAGTGACAGTTGAGATGGACAGATGACATCATCAAACCAGTAGAATCCCCAAGATGATTATGACAAGCCTTCTTTGGGATCCTATCAAAGATCACCTTCTCCACCATTTCTACACACACCAATGCCAGACCAAGGTCTCTAGGAAGCTACCAACAAATCACCAAAGCTGCCTATTTCTCATCTTTTGGCACAGAAGGCATGGCTCTTTGGTTGTAGACTGCCTCTTCATGTGGAAGCTCCACTCAGCTAGCTGACTGAGCAAGACTCCCTGATGCAGCCCTTGGTCAGCTTCCTGTCGTATTCCCTTTGCGTTGCCATTCTGGGTTTGGTCTTTAAGATTTTTCTGTCTAAGCTGAGCTCCCTGTGTTATTTCTGCTTAGGTGCAGACACTTCGTTCTTCATGCCAAAGTATTGTTAGACAGTGCTGTGTCTAATGTCAGAGAAAGGAGAGAAATTATCTGCCCTGGTTTCCAATTTCAGACATCATTTCTTCTACAGCAATGCAGGCAAGAAACAAACAAACAAAAAAAATGTGGAACAGATTCTACCGAAGAAAAATACTGTAGCGCTTAATGAAGCTGAATCCCAAATCCCAGGACCCTCTTTTAGATAAGTTCCAATATTGAGGGATCCTGCTTTTTTTCAGAAAACCAAAGAATCAGACTTATTCCGTTTTACCCAAGAAATCTAGACCTTCCAAGGTAGACTGATCCTAAGTACTGAAGCTCTTCGGTTCACATCATGGCAGAGGTGCCACCATTCTTTCTTGTTTGGATGAAGAGACCCTCCTTTTTCTTCTGGGCACCAAAGTTCAAGTATAAGAGAAAGATAAAAAAAAAAAAACATTCCTGCTCAAATATGTCCTTCCCCTAAACGGAGGCGTTATCTTATGATCAGCAATTACTTTCCACCTCTTTGGTCCAGTTTACAATCTTATTTTGCTATTAAGTCACCCACTTGAGAGTTATTATGACAGCTTTCTTGCCAGTTGTTTTCCTGGCTGCGTCCCTTTGGTCCACATCATGGCAGAGGTGCCACCATTCTTTCTTGTTTGGATGAAGACATCCTCCTTTTTCTTCTGGCCAGCAAAGTTCAAGTACAAGAGAAAGATGAAAAGAATATTTCTGCCCTTCTATGTCCTTCCCCTAGACGGGGAGGCGCTATCTTATGATAAGCAATTACTTTCCACCTATTCCTCTTCGGTCCAGCTGATTTTGAACACCAAAGGTGCATTCTGCAACACTTGAAACCCTAAACCCATTTCCAGAAGAAATAATTTGCAGTGAAGAATCAGTTGTTCAGAAAGAAATGGAGTCGATTCTCATATCGACTTTTTTTTTTTTTAAGGGCAAAGCTTACAGTTTTCACCTCCTCTTAAATTCGTTCATTTCTCCCTAGCAAGTACGATCCAGAGTTTGAGAAGCCCCGCTTTAGAGTTTTTGACTTTAATATAATCCCCACAAAGGTTTGGCGTATTTTTATTTCTGTTAGTCTCTTCATAGTCCAGCTAGTTTATCTTTTGCCACTAACATATCCTTGATCTGTCGAGATCCAGCTTTGAAGTTAATTTTGTTTCTGCACTAAAATCTTGAGCTAATATGAGGTTGAAACTTGTGACGTTCTCAAGTTCAGTTTGGATGTGAGCAGATGTCTTGCCTTTGGGGGAACTGGGAGGCTCTTTGCTGGTTTTTATGTTTTTTATGGCTGTAATGGTTTTTACTATTATTTTTGTGCGGTCTGCTGCCTTCAAGTCACCAGAGAGAAGCAATGGAAGAAACAGCTCATCAACACACAGACAGAGATGAATTAATGCTGAGTACTGCAAGGTTTCCTTTCTGTAGTTTTCCAACATGGAGGCAATGATATGCCCCAAATCTGCTGCTGCTATAATTGAAAAAAAAAAAATGGAACTTCCCTTCCTCCTTGTTTTTGAGGTCTCCTATATATGTATGTTCTTTCTATTCTTAACTGTTAAATTTTGGAATTAAAAAAAACAAAAACTTCTCTTTGCCATATTTTATTTGGTATTTCTACTGGGAGAGTTTGAAAGAAAACCTTTAATTTTGAAAGGGCCATTGTTTTAACTGCCACAATTCAACCCAGAAATTTAAAATATTTTTTATCCCACTTTTTCCATTTCTTTTTTTATTATTTTTTCCACATTGGGATGAAATAGTTATTAAATAGTTGGTTGATTTTGTAAAAAGAAAATTATTTCCTAGGTCAGTGGTGGCGAACCTATAGCACGGGTGCCAGAGGTGGCACTCAGAGTGCTCTGTGTGGGCACGTGCACTGTCGCCCCAGTCCTAGGCCTTCATCTGGGTTTTATAAAACCTTTTCGCTTTAGGCCTCTGCTGCCGTGTGCAAAAAAAAGGAAAGGTTCAATCAATCAGTCAATTTCAACTTGTCGTGAGAAAAAAAAAAAGATCTTGCAAAGTTGGAATTGATTGAACTTTTTAGTCCCACCCAGTCTGCTGTTATCACCACATCCCACCCAATAGGCCATGCCCACTCAATTGACCACACCCACCCAGTACCCGACAATGCATAAGTGGGTTTTGGGTTGGAGTTTGGGCACTCGGCCTCTAAAAGGTTCGCCATCACTAAACTAGAAAGTGAACCCTGATTTATATCCTTATATTTTTTTTTAGTAATTCTTCCATTAAATATTTAAAGGTCTTTTTCCTTTGTGTGATGATGACAGGACTGATTTTTTTAAAAAAAAAAATCACCACAGCCATTTTTCTTGTTCTACCTGACTGTTTACAAACTTCAGTCCAATTTTCCTCAACGTTTTTGGGAACAGAAGATGCCCTGGAATTGATCCAATGCAGCATTTTATTTTATTTTATTTTTTGCAAAACAGAGATTTTAATTGTAACCTTATGATTGGAGATCAGACACACGAACAAATACATATTTAAAGAAAAAGAAATATAGAAAGGAGCACAGGTTCTTTAGAGAAACAAGGAATAGTATCCAAAGTTTGTTTAGTCAAGTTGTGTAGCTGTCAGTCTGAAAAAGTGACACAAACAGCAAACAACCCTAAAGTCAATTAAACCGAGAACGGAACACAAAAAGAGAAACCAACATATATAGCAGCTGACAGATATTCCAATCTGTAGAGGTTCCCGTAATCACAAAATGGTCCTTTCACACACTTGGAACCCAGGCCCAGGCACATCGTGAGCACTTCAAGGTCTTCCAAAAGGCCAACCGAATTGGGGTCACCCTGCTTTCAGGGGGGAGGATGATCCAGAAAAAGAGGCTCTAGGCACCCCATCCAGGCCCTTACAGCCTCCAGAAAGTGCAACAGGCTCCCAGGTAATCTTAGAGAGGAAACATGACATAAGCTAATTGTTAGACTACATGAAGAGAATGTTGCAAGTCTGAGAGTACTAACTTCCTGCCTCCACTTCTAAATGTTCGGTCAACCAGGTTGCTTCCTGACCGGCGACTAGGGGGGTGTCCTGCCTCTCTTGTCTGATTGTTCCCTATGTAGAATCTCTTCCTCTAGTTCACCAAGACCACACATGTCAGACACAAGGCCGGGGGCCGGATGCGGCCCGTGAAGTGGTTTCATGTGGCCTGCGAAGCCATCCTGGAAACTGAGGGAACGGCCCCTGCTGCCTTGGCCCTGGCCCAGGCCGGCCGGGAGCCAATGTACAATTTTGTGATGGCTCTCTATGCTGAAACACATTCAGTCTTAGCTCCATAAGCCCCCCCCCTCGCATGGCCTGAGAGGAACAGTGAGGCTCCTCCAGTGGACCATGCCTTGGCACTTGCCCTGGTCCCAGCCCCTTCTGCCAGAGACCCTCAGATCTGTCCCACTCCTGCCCAGGCCCCCACAGGCACCCTTGACACGAACAACATAGAGCTGGCCACACCCACCCAGTAGGCCAAACCCACTCCATCCACGCCCACCCAGTAGGCCACACCCACCCTGGCCACACACCCCCGCCGAGGGCAACCGCAACGCTGATGTGGCCCTCAATGAAATTGAATTTGACACCCCTGACCAAGACCATCCACCCATTTAATTAGAGAGCATTTCTCCCCATAAAGAGTGGCTAAATGTCTATGGAGATTCTCAGTCAACCAGGCATGATTGTCCCAAAGATGCTTTTTTTTCCAAGAGGCAACTGAACTTTCTTGTTTTTCTTTGAAGACGTTTCGCTTCCCATCCAAGAAGTTTCCTCAGCTCTGACTAAATTCCACTCCCCACCCTCTAATCCAGTGTTTCTCAACCTTGACAATTTTAAGGCATGTGGACTTCAACTCCCAGAATTCCACAGCCAGCAATGCTGGCTGTGGAATTCTGGGAGTTGAAGTCCACATGCCTTAAAATTGTCAAGGTTGAGAAACACTGAGCTGAAGAAGCTTCTGGGATGAGAAGCGAAACGTCTTCAAGGAAAAAAAAACAAAGTCAGGTGCCTCCTGAAACAAAGCACCTTTGGGAGAAGAGCAGCTGTTTCCCTTCCTGCAGGCAACAGCCAGGGAAGGGGATCATCTCTTCCCATGGTCCCTCAAGGTCATTCTCAGATACCATTACAGACTGGGACAAGATATCCACAGCATCGTTCGGGAACCCTGGTTTCATCAGTATTAATTAACAGCCACAAGTAATCCCAGAAGTCTGGTCATTAGGGCAGTTGTTAAGGTAGATGCCCAGTGATCGCTTCGCTCAGCAACCCAGGTGTGTGCCGGTCCTTAAGCAAGAGAGCGGCCTGCTGAAGGAGAGCAGGAAGTTCTTGCTCTGGGTGTGGAAGAGAAGGCCTTCACTGGGTGAGCTGAAGGGGCTCCTACAGAGTTCTCTGACACCCAGGGAGTGAAAGGAGAAGCCAAATCTGAATATTCCTGCACAAACCCAGTGCTTTTCCTTTCTCCCGGGGCCCTCCTTCTCTTGGTCCTTGGGTAAAGGTCCAACGGGGTTCAATCTAGGTGTTTTGGTAACAGTCCTAAAGTTTGGCACCTCTTTGATATTCGCGTTCCATTCTCACCCTTGGGTCCTTGCATCTGCCAGACTCTGTTCTGGACCGGCACCCTTGGTTCCTCTCATCCTGTTGGCCTCCCCTCTGAGAAAAGAGGAAAAAAAAAAGATGAAATTAAAATGATCGAAGTTTCGAAAAGGAAGACACAGAGTACTATGGAATAAGTGGCATGACTGCTTGGTGATTAGAAATAATAAATGAGAATAAATGTGGAAAGGTCAAAAATGGAAAATGTGTGTCTAATACTGTATAGTAATAATAATATGTATTATTTTTAGTACGAAGTATAGTATGAAGGAAGAAAAATGCAAACAAGAAACAACGGGACAACAAGGACAAATATATCTAAAGAAGAATAAGGGGGGGGAAATGTAAATAATAGAAGATTACCGTTATGAAATTGCTGTTAAAAAAAAAAGGAGGAGTATAAAATAAAAAAAAAAATAAAAATAAAATGATCGAAGTTTCATTGGGAACGAATGAGGAGGTCTTTGATGTTCCAGCCATGGTTCTTTCATCAGATATGAAATTGCAGAGCAAGAGAAATTTGAAGCGCAAAAAGTCAAAGTCAAAATAGAGAAAAGAGAGGAAGTACAGTAATAATCCAGCAGGTCCGTAAAGAACAAAAAGTATAGCTGGGGAAGATCATGTTATAACAAATAAGTCTCTAATTCCTTTGGAGACGCCTATTACTGAGCGTTTTAAATATCGTTAAGCACCTAAATATCTGATGAAGAGAGCAACAGGCTTCTTTCTGTTGGGACATACTTGGATCAGACAAGACAATTTTTTAAACATTTTGATGAGGTCAATGTGATGGAGAAAAGACCAGATTTTTTTCCATTGCTGCAACAGAAATATGGAAGCAAAGAGATCAAATTGAATTTCTAGAGGGAAACTGTTTGGCAGGCTCAACCTGTGATCATCATTCTGGCCAGGAAGAAGCTTCTGATTGGCGATATGGCCTCTTCTTGACGTTGGCACCACTTAACAGTTTCTGATGAGGAGAGAGGACTTCCTATGCCAGGGGTAGGCAACCTTGGCTCTTTTATGACTCGTGGACTTCAACTCCCAGAATTCCTGAGCCAACATGGCTCAGCTTGGAAACCTCTCCCTTTCCCCTCAGCATGGCTGGCTCAGGAATTCTGGGAGTTGAAGTCACGAGTCATAAAAGAGCCAAGGTTGCCTACCCCTATTTATGCCTTGCTCCTTCCTTCACTGATGCATTTAAACTGGAAAAGGTGCAAAAGATTTCTTTCCAGCAAGTTGACTGACTGATCTTTGGGTTCCTGGATTCTATTGGGTTCTGTATCAATGAAATGAAACAGAAAGGTTAAATTAAATATATGCTAAAAGAAACAGCCATTTAAAATTTAAAAAGCAATTGCTTGTATCTTAATGCTGACAGATCCAGGATATGAGTTTTTTTTTTTTAAAAAAATCATAGTATCAGTGGATTTTTCTTTTTGTACAAAAGGGATAGCATCTTTCACTATTAACTTGCACAAAACATCCCGCTGCAATGTCACAATGGATGTATAGGATTGCATATTATTATTTGTCATAGGTGTCTTTTAAAGCCAAGCTATTCCAGATATAATCTAGAATTAACTGTAAGAAACATTCTATATTTTAGTTGAATAAAAGTGGTATTACTAGGCAAAAATTATCCTAAGTGTAAAATGTACATTGTGACCATTAGATGGTGCAGTCATAAAACATTTATTCTCAGACTCCTCCAAGCAAATGGGAAATCAAGGATGTCGTCATCATCGTCCTGGAAATGGTGATTTTTTTTTTTAATACAAATCCAGTTATGTTCGAAGTCTAAGGTTGTTGTGCCACAAATCCCATAATCCCTAGCCAATGGGCAGAGCGACTGGTGAACGGAGTTACTAAAACTTAGTAACAACTAAAATTCCATAAATTACTCTAAATTTATTCTAATTTAGACAATTACATCTCTACAGGCCTTAACATTTCAATTGAACAAACCTACGTAACATTTGCTGGACTATTGCAAAAAAAACCAAAAAACACATTCCTCAATAAATCAGTCTTGCATAAAAAAAATCAGAAATCTCAACTTTCTTTGATCTTTTCCAAAATTCCAAGGAATCTTTTCTGTAGCCATAAACTTCTCCTTACCTTCTCCTGTCAGAACTGCCTGCTCTTCTTTCAGCACTTCTGGTTTGGGGCTGAGGGCCATCTGCCCCTTGGTAATTTCACTAAGCTGGATACCTGTCCACTTTTATATAAAATCTAATATGGAGAAATGAAGCACCAGAAGAAAAAGGGAGAGGAAAAAATCACAGCCAGAATATAACAATCTTTTCATTACTCTGTTTAGTAGAAGGACAATGTATCTTAGAATACGTCGTTCATAGTTTGGAAATCATAAAATGTACCTCTGTAGCAGGTGGCTTGATAGCACTTCTACTACATCCATGGGACATCACCAGCTCTTCAAGGCCTTTGAAAAGTCCAACAGGATCAGGGCCACCCTGAATCTCATGAGGGAGAATGTTCTAGAAGGTCATATGAAGAGGGGGTCCCAAAAACAGTGGGGGACCCAAAGTTTACAATCTTATTTTCTTTTTGCTGCATACGTTGATCCCAATTTGACGGCTCCCACAGCAGAAAGCTAAATACAGGCGGAAGAGAAACATGGCCAGCCATGTTCCTCAAAGTGCTGTGGAACTGGAAGAAAAAAAGGTACCTTTGCTGAGAACTTCCTATTCTTGGGAATCTCATGGTCAAAACACACACATGTGCAATTTAGGGTATGTTCGTTAGGCCTTTAAAGCTGCCCTCTCCCTCTATGGCTACTCCCAGCTTCTTAAATCCCAGCCTTTTTCGAAGGAGGAAGCTTTGGGGTGGCATTTTAAGCGAAGGACTGTATAAACCCACTTTTTCTGTATCATCTGCAACTCTGGCCATGGAGGCCTCTTTGTGAAGAGGTCCCTGAATGTTGGAAAACAGTGCTTGTGAAAAGCCAAATTCCCATGCTCCTTGATGCCTGTCTTCAAGAACAATCCTCCCTAGTGGAGCATTTCACTGGAATTATTAACACCTGATTCGGTGGATGTTTGCAAGGGCCCAATTTTCCTTCCAGCTTCCCTGGGACATGGATGCCCTTACCTTCAAAATAAAAATGAAATGCTTCGTTTCTGCAGATTGTTACAGAAGGCCTCGGATCAGGAGGCCAAAGGCCTCCTCCAACAACTTCTTCACTTCCTGAAATGAGGGACAGAGATGATGATGTGTGAAAGGTTTTCCCAGCTGTTCCAGTATCAGAAAGGAACTCCCAGAAATGTTGCTGAAGATGGTGCCTCTGCAATATTCTCCCCACGGTTTTTCACGGAGGACATCCACATGGACCCAAAGATCTTCAGGAGCTGGGACTCAACGTAGGGGTCCATGGCTGGAGGAACCTTGCTGTGAGATCAAAGGAAAGAAGAGACATCAGTGCCCACCTTAGTGAACAGCCCTGGGGTTCATTTTTCCCGAGGGAATAGCAGGTAAAAGAAAGAAAAGGCTGACCTGATGTCCTAAACCGCAAGCATTGCAGCTAGTCCTGCTGTGAAGCTGCTGAAACGGTTGTCCTCCATCAGAGCCTGGCAGGAATGAAGAATGGAGAGAAGTAGAGAAGGGAAAGTCAGCCATGATGCTCCAGCCCAGCCCTTCCTATTTCTCCCAGCCCCTTTTCACCTGTTCTTCTGCTACAGCTTCCCTCTCAGTACAAAGGAAAGCTAGCCGCAGGTTAAGGACCCTTTGCACAGTCCACATTTTGTCAGACCAGGGGTAGTTTTTGTCCCCTCCATTTACTGCTCCTGTTTCTCCTTCCTGCTTTGCTTGCCTCCAATGTCCCCCTGCCTCCCTCTGACTTACCAAGACAGCCAGGCCGTAGAGGTTCTTGTTCCTTGGCTCGGGGACGGCCATTTGCCCACTCCGCTTCAGCCGAAACAGAGTGGTGATGGAAGAGAGGCCTTCAAGGATACTGCGCTCCTGTTGCAAGAGAAAAGAGTCAGGCTGTGAAATTGGGGAGGCTGTTGGGCAACTTGTCCCCAGGGTCCCCCATGTTCTCCCTTTCAGAAGGGAAGGTTGAAACCCTTCTGAGTCTCTCTCCATGCCGAGGAAAAGTTTGAATCCCATTGAGACTGGGATTCCCCCCTGGGAGAAAGGCTGAGCTATGGGACCCTCTGATTCCCAGGGGTACCTACTGGTTGGTCTGTCTTCTGCATCCTCTCATGGACCTCTTCCCATATCTTCTGGCTCCTCCATCGGTCTCTTCTGCAGCACGAAGCCTGGCGTGGTGTATTTTCTTCTTTTCTGATGTCCTTTGTCTTGAAGAAAATCTTCTTCTTCTTTTCTGTCGTGTCCTTTCTGGGGAGATCTGGGAATGGAGAGGCAGGTGCTTGGCAAAGTTTTAGGTCTCCCCCAGATGAAGAAAAGCCTCCAAAACCAGGCTCAGCTTTGCAGCTTTCTTCCCCTTGTGACCCGATTCTCCTTATTAGACAGTTGTTAATTAATTTTTGTCCCATCTTATTACCTTCCTTGCCACTGTTGTTAATTCAATCATTCCTTCCCCATTGATTTTTGTTGTCAGAAGTTTGCAAACGGTGATCACAAGTCCCTGGGATACTACAACCGTCATAATTAGGAGTCAGGGTCCGAATTCGATCATGTGACTGTGGGGATTCTGCAGTGGTTGTAAGTGTGAAAAAAGATCATGTCATTTTTCTCAGTGCTATTATACCTTGAAACAGTCATTCCATGGACTGTTGTAAGTCAAGGACCCCCTGTCTATCTCTACATGGAGGAATCCCCTCCTAAAAAGCTGCTTCCTCTCCTTATCAAAGTCCCAGCCCATCCCTGATTTTCACTTTTTTTATTTTTTCCACATTGAGGTGAAATTATTATTAAATAGTTGAATAATATTTTTAGTCATATTCAGATATCCAAAAGATCCCCTTTCTATGGGTATATTTAAAACCTCAGCGATTAGATATTGATTTTTCATGTTGAAAAGGAACTTAACAAGGGGTTTTTTTTAGATTGTTTTAAACACAAGTTTCTTATTTCTATAAATAATTCAAGGAAGTGAATATATCTAATCCTCCTTCCTCCTTTTATTTCCCCCATAAGAACCACCCTGTGAAGTGGGTCGGGCTGAGGGAGAGTAACTGGCCCAAAGTCACCCAGTGGCTTTCTTGCCTCAGTCAGCACTCGAACTCAGCGCCTCCTGGATTCCAGCCGGGTGCCTTAACCACTAGAGCAAACTGACTCTATTACTATCCTAGACTTTATCCCCACCTCAATTTTTCTCTTTTACTCCAGCAGCTTCTTTCACTTGCCTGCTCACAAATCTTATTACTGTATTTCTTGGCTTCTGCATTTGGTTGGCCTTAGGAGAGGAAAACCTATGGACACCCTTAATCTGAAAGCTTTAATTCTGGCAATTGTTCAGCCTTGATATAAGATACCCATTAAACTAGCCCTTTCTGCTTTTTCCTGGATTCTTCCCTCTCGGCCTGAATTCCTCCGCCATTTCAAAGATGGCTCCTTATTTAGGCCTCGTTTCTCTTGCTAGCCTTGCCAGGTGGCTGCATATTACTTCAAGGAAAAGGCAGGGCTCAGCCCAAAAGCTGGGCCGGGAGGACAGCAAAGGGCTCGGCAGGTCAGAAAAGGACCCAGAGAGGACATTGGCTTTAAACCCACAAATGGTTCAGCACTCTGTTTTCTTTTTGTTAAAGGAAGCCAAACTCGTATGTCTCGTGACATCATGTGTTGTACAAACCCAATTTTGGCTTCGTGGTGAAGGCACTCCTCTGTAAGGGTTAAATTATGCTTGCAAACATGGAGGCATTCGCTGCCCATCAGCCCTCTCAGTGTGGCTGCCTGTAGTGCTGCCAGTTTGTCATCTAAGCCTGGGACTAGGGAGAAATCTTCAAACTCTGCTCTGAAGTTGGCCCAGTTACTGCTGCAATCTCCACTCACCGTCATTGCCTCAGGCGGTGGGAGGTTGTTAGCAGCTCCCGGGATGCTGGTTTCCTGGCTTCAAATGCTCGGCTTCCAGGACAGGGCCACTGGTGCTAGGCTGGCATGCATCAAATGTGTGGAGACAGCACAACTCAGATGCCTCCCTGTTTCATGTAGACTCAGTAAATACAACACAAGGCCTCCCTATGCAAAAGCCACGTTGTTACAGACCGAAAGAGAGCACATGCAACAACAGGAAAAAGAAATGCATCACAGGAACAATGGAGATGAATCACAGAGTAGCAATTTTGACACAGGAAACAAATACAATTAGAGATGGATGATAGAGCTGCATATAAGCTAAACATAATACCCCTAACAAATTCCGCCACCATTTCAAAGATGGCACCTTTTTAGGCCTTGTTTCTCTTGCCAGCCTTGCCAGGTGGCTGCATATTAGTTCAAGAAAAAGGGCAGGGCTCAGCCTTTCGCTGAGACAGGGCTGCAGTCCTTTTCATCCATTCATGAGCAGCTCTGTTGAGCTGAATATTATGATCCCCACTGATGTCCCACATACTCACTGAAGGCTAAAGTGGCATCTTGAGTTTGGTGCTATGGAAACTTTGAGAATTTTGAAGCCATCATTCAGTTCTCACCATAAACCTACTATAATAGAATATATTTGATTTCAATGTCCCTTGGAAGTCTTCTAGTCCAGGGCTCTTTCAACCTTTTCACCCCTTGTACCACTTTTAGGATAGGGCAACATCCAAGTACCACCAGTCGCCTAGCAAGGTATCAAAAATTTGATGACCCCAAAAAAAGGAAAAAAGTGATAAAGTACAGGTAGCCCTCGACTTACAACAGTTCGCTTAGTGACTGTTCAAAGTTACAATGGCACTGAAAAAAGTGCCCCCCCCCAAGCCACAGCTAAGCAAGACACCTGCCTGCCCACCCGGTGGCGCTCTTCCTCCTGTCCGAGGTTTCCATTGTTGTGAGCATTTCTGTTGAGGATTGGCAGTGGGGGTGGGATGGGGGGGTATTTGGTTTTTTATTCCCCCCGTCTGCTGGGTGGTTGCAGCAGGTTTTGGTCACTTCACATGACCCTGGGACACTGTGACCGTCATAAATATGAATCAGTTGCCAAGCATCTGAATGTAAATCACAAGACCCTGGAGATGCTGCAACATTCTAGCTGATCGACGCTTCTTCTGGGCTCAGCAGATGCTCCAGGATCAACGCCAAGCTCCAGCTGGAGCCTGGCACTGATCCTGGCGCTTCCGCTGAGCCCTGACAGCCCCGAAGAAGTGCTGATCCTGGTGCTTCTGCTGGGCCCTGACAGCCCTGCAGCTCAAGCCATCTCTCACTCAGGCTTGTGCGGTGCTGCCACTGGTTCAGCTCATTCCTCTCCCCCGCTATCACTTTTCTAGGATGGTTGCGTACCACCTGCCAAGTGCCAATGTACCAAGGTGGTACCCGTACCACTGGTTGCAAAGCCCTGTTCTAGTCCAACCCTGTGTTGAAGCAGGAGACCCTATATCTAATTAAAGATTCCTACCAAATGACAATTCGTAATCGAAATCAATGCTATGCCTATATTTAATGTAAATTATCAAGTATCAGAAAAATATTAGCACTTTCCTCAACTGCCAAAGTGTGAAAGTGAATGAATTAAAATGGATAATATTTAGTTCTCTGTCTTTTTTGTATGCTTACATATTTTGCCACATGTTCATTAATATCTGTCACAAAACTCACTGAAGCTTTCTTGTTTCAATGCTCTCATTGCTGTGTTAACTAAGGAGGCCAGATTTACAAGACTCCTTGTCAGGAGTTCTTCATGTGTTTTAGTATCCAGTCCCCTAATCATCTTTATTGCTCTTTTCTGCTCTCTTTCCTACAATACGGTGACCAAAACTGGATGCAGTATTTTAAGTGTGATATTACTCAGGCCTTATAAAGTGGTACTAATACTTCATAGGATCTTGATTCTGTCCCTCTCTTAAGGCAACCTCAGACTGAGTTGGCATATTTGGCTGCAGCTGCACACTTCTGCCTTATATATATTGGGACAAATAAAATAACACATAGCATGGCAATACGCAGAGAATAGGACCAACAACTGTATCAGTGACTCTTGCTCAGTCATCTAGCTGAGTGGAGCTTCCATATGAAAAGGCAGTCTACAACCAAAGAGCCATTCCTTCTGTGGCAAAAGATGAGAAATAAGCAGCTTTAGTGATTTGTTGGTAGTTTCCTAGAGACCTTGGTCTGGCATTGGTGTGTGTAGAAATGGTGGAGAAGGTGATCTTTGATAGGATCCCAAAGGAGGCTTGTCATAATCATCTCCTTGGGGATTCTACTGGTTTGATGATGTCATCTGTCCATCTCAACTGTCAGTTACTGTCAGCTCTCAGTGATCTGAGTGAAGATGGCTGCCGATATGTGAGTAGTCTTCAGAAGGGCTGCTGGGCCCTTACCTATTGTACCCATCTTCTCAGAAGATTGGGAGATTCCAGATGTGGGAATGTCATTTGTTGTCCTCTCAGGAAAAGTAAATAAGGGGCAAAAGTGTTCTAGAGCAGTTTTACCTTTCATACCTGCTAAAAGTGTAGACTGATTACTTTCGAATTGATGAGGATCGCTTAGCATCCTTAACCTCTGAATTAGGAAAAACTTTTGAAATTTGATAAATTCAGGTTCCTGTGGAACATGTCCAGTAATGTAAAACCAAACCAAGGTTAAAAGTGATGAGTTCAAGCCAGAAGTATTGGTTTTCCACTCAGTTTCTTTCATCACAGGATGTTGTTGTGTGGTTGAACATATGTTCAGTTGAATCAAAGTGAGTCTAGAAAAATAGGCTTTCCTTTCCTTTCCTTTCCTTTCCTTTCCTTTCCTTTCCTTTCCTTTCCTTTCCTTTCCTTTCCTTTTCCTTCCCTCCCTTCCCTTCCCTTCCCTTTTTCCCCCCAACATAAATGTTCTTAATCTCTATAATGTGACCATGGGAAGCTGCAAAGAATCTTGAATTTCGGTCATGGGTGGCTCCGGGCTCCGTTGTACCTTTGAATGGTTGCTAAGTGAGCAATTATAAGTTGAGAACTGTCTGCAAAGAATTCATATTGTGTTAATGACACACGGACGGCTTTTTCCAGATAGCTAGGTACAAACTTTTCTATATAAAAATTGGCTTTAAACGTAGTTGTCTATTTACGACAACAGAGCACAAGGCAGTTGTTAAATGTGTCATGCCCCATTTCATGCCCTGTTTGCTGTGGTTGTTCAGTGAGTCAGAAGCTGTTAAGTGAATCGTGTGCTTTTTAGGCAACTCTGGCTTCCCCCCTTGATTTTGCTCTCTCAGAAGCCAGCTGGGACAGTTGCAAAAGATGATCACGTGACTCTGGGACAGAGCAACTGTCATAAATAGGAGCCAGTTGTCCAGTGTCTGAATTTGGATCACCTGACCATGAAGATTCTCTAATGGTCCTAAGGGTGAAAAGTGGTCAGAAGCCACTCTTTTCAGTGACCTTGTAACTTCAAGCGGTCCCTAAACAAACTGTTGTATGTCGAAGAACCCCGAGGGTGGAGAGCTGGAGGATGCTGGAGGATGGGGGCGGGGGGGTCTTCCTATTGCAAGGAAGGAAGAATCTGGAGAAAACGTCCCTCTTGAGCTCATCTGGATGAAGAAGGCAGTTGCTTCTCTCCGCTTCCCTCTGTCTGAAGACATCTGGTGACAATCGGGTGCAGGAGAGAAGAACCTCTGTTGGGCCACCATTCTTCATTCTTCACTGCTTCCCGGTGATCCGGTTGCCGGTTGGGGTGTCTAGAAGCATCTCTTTCCCCTCTTTCCAAGCTCATTCCCCAGGAGGAAACCTCAGAGAGCTCAGCTGGATCATGTTTGCAAGCCTTCTGCTCAGGCAGAGGACTGGACTAGAAGACCTCCAAGGGCCCTTCCAAGCCTGTTATTCTAGGATAGACAGGTTCTGGATGTACTTTTTCTTTTACATAATAATATCTGCTAAAACAACAACAAACTATCTAACAGCAAAACCCAAATTCAAAGTTACATTTTTTTCCCCACCTCAAGCTGTTTGCCAAATCTGGCTCTAGAGGTTCTGCCTCGTTCTACGTGCTTTTCCAATAAACAAACAAGTCAGAAAATGATTTAAAAGCATTTTATAAGGTAGTTTGATCAAGTGGGGGCTCCCTATGAAAAGGGGGAACGTCACTAAAATGGTTTACATGGACTTTTATATTAGCAAAACAAAGAACTTCAAAGCAAACTTTGATTGCTTTAGAAACAGTCATGTGTCCAGTTAAAATAACAGAAATTAGAGCATCCAATAATATGTGAGCACAGCCATAGAAAAGAGCTTTGCATGCTCAGTAAAAGAAACATTTGCAAAGGGAAAACCTCTAAATTTGTCTGGTTAAGAAACATTCTCAGCTCTTCCCAAGGTTGAGCTTGAATCTTTGCTTTGATCACAGAGGCTTCAGAACAGCTGAAAGGGAGACTGTGGTCTGCAGTGCATGGAAAGCTCTCCTGCCAGTCCCGGTCTCTGAAAGGGAGGCATTTTTCTGAAAGTGAAGGCTTATGGGAACTTATGAGTCATACTTTGGAAAAAGCAAATTTACAATACAAAAAAATCCCATGTTAGTTAGCTGGTGGAAGAATACAACAAAAATATATTTCAGCTATTACAAAGTCCATCAAAGCACAAAGCACAAGTCCAAAAGAGGTTTCCAATAGAATTAAAATTGTGTTCTTTTCTTTAATTAAAGCAGTCCATTTAGTGTCTTTCTTAACTCCATCAACGTTTTGCAGCCATTTGTCCACTGTGGAAATCAAAGTATCCTTCCATTTTTGTGGAATTCTTCTTCTTCTGTCAGCATACATAACATCAGTGTTCCATTTCTTTCAAGTTCTTTATCTGTTCAGCCTGAGAGAAAAGTCTCTGAATTTCTCTTGATATTCACTTTAAGAATCTTCTATATTAAGAAATGAATCCTACAACACTTCTTTTCTTTGTATCATGTCCACCACAAATGGTAAAATGTTCCTTCTTTATATTTATATTTCCAAAATTCATTTGAACGCCATTACACATTCTTGACCATTTGTCCCGTGTTAGTTACCAATAGTATATCATCTTGTAAAAATTTTCTTTTATGCTATAATTTAAATTTTAAAACTTTTGTCCATAAGTGTTCCCATTGTTGAAGCATTTACTTATATCCAAGATTCTTTGCCCACTGAATCATACAGTGCTTTACAAATTCAAGAGCAATTTATAAACCTTCGCAATAATAAGTTAATCACTACTACACAACAAAATTTGCAATTCATCTTTTACAAAATCAAATCGATAGATTTTTAAAAATCTAATTATTTCCATCAACTGTAAATATGTAAATCAATGGCCAACAGCTCCTTCTAATTCCAACTCTTCTTTAGATTTGAGGTTGGGGTTACCATAACTGAAAAATATTATTTGACCAAAAGTCCACTGGTCTAGCCTCACCACCAATTCTTTTCCAGAAAACAACACAAAGCTTCGTGGGACGACACCAAAGGGGGATGTTTGCAGAGAACCTTATTTGATATTTATTTCAAACTCTTAGGATGGCACATCTAACAAAATGGTTGTTGAAATCAACATTTCCTTCAACCTTTTCGTGGCATAAATTGGCGTACTGCCCAAATCTTAATTCATGGCCCTACAGCTCAACTCTCCTCTTATTTTAGAGAGTCACCCGCTCTTTTAGCCAGACCAAATAACAGGCAGCAACATACAATTTCAAAGCTGGTAACCCCAAACCTCCTCTTGGGTTAGCATTTTGCAATTATTGATACCTAATTCTTGGTTTTTTCCCCCTTGCCATATAAACCTTTGAGATGTCTGTCTGACATTGTTTAAATGGAGCATCAGGGACAGTAAAAGAGTCTGAAACACAAAAAGCATCTTTGGTAGGACATTCATCTTAATTACAGAGATTCTACCTAATTGTCATGCCTCCATCCCAGCTTGAATCCCAGGGGGAGCAGGACCCTCTTGAGGTGCAGGAGGAGATGTCTGTGGCTTCGGAGGACCATGGGGAGGAGCAGGCTGAGGCAGGCCAGGGCCCTTCAGGTTTGGACAGGGGAGGCAGAGTTCAGGCATGGAGCAAGCTCTCCCCCCACCTGATCCTAGAGCAAGGAGAGCAGAGAGGAGGAGAGAACAAAGTATGGAGGAACAATTGCTCGGGAGGAGAGCGGCCTGCCCCACTCCACAAGGCACGCCTGGGGATGAAGATTTAAGGAGATGCTGTGGAGTGGGGCATTTGCCGGGAACAAACGTGGTATCTTGGGACAGTTGTGAATTGTGCTCTTGTCTTTGTTTAACCTGGACACCTTGAGTACCGGACCAGCTGTTTTCCTGCTTGATGACCACAGACTGCATTCTGAGTCTCTCCTTGCAGACTGCAGGCAAGCTGAGATTTCAAAGGACTCATTAAGTTTCTGTTTTGTTTTCTTGTTATCTGTCTGGCCTTGAGGACATTGTATACTTCTCCAGCTGTATTGAAATTGCCTTCATCCAGAGGCAGGTGAAAGGAAGTTGCATGTGTGCTTTGGCTGAAGGCTTGCCAGCATATGTGGGAGCTTTTGGGGAACATTGGCAGTTATTAAAGGACTTTTTCTCTTGCAAGCCGACTGCTTTGCCTTCATGCGGGGCCCTGGGTCATCACATCAATAAGTTATTTGCAATTTATCTCATCCTAATAAGTCTTTTTTACTTTTGTGACAAAAAGTCTGAAAGTTATTTTGAAAAAGTTCAGAATTTTGTTGTCTATGTAAATCCAGGTATTCCAGCTTTTTCTCCAACTTAAAAACCTGACTTTTTATTTAGTATTTCATAGTCCTGAGAAGTCATATTCTTAACAAACATGGTTGTTTTCTGTTTATTTATTTTATAGGCGATTAAAGCTCAAAAGTCATTTAGTTTCTTTATGAAATATTGTATAGTGTTTTTTTCTGGATAAATAATTCATCAGCAAATGCTGTCAGTTTGTAAACTTCCTTCCTAAGATTTATACTTGTAAAGTTTTCATCTTGCCTAATATCCTTATTGAAAACTTCCAACCCCGATTAAAATAGCAGGGGAGATAAGGGGCTTCCTGGCCTCGCACCCTTTTGGATCTCACATGGCTTAGTTAAGAATCCATCAATAATAATATTTGCTTGCTCTGATGTCTGAATTGCTTTGACCCATTTTATAAACTGTTTTGGCCCCTAGTATATATTATTTTGTGAAATAAAAAGTTGAGGTTGTATGTTGTTGCTTATTCTAATGCTCCAAAAGAAGTTGTAATTCAATGCTTCTCTCCTCTTCTCTTCTCTTCTCTTCTCTTCTCTTCTCTTCTCTTCTCTTCTCTTCTCTTCTCTTCTCTTCCTCTTCTCCTCTCCTCTCCTCTCCTCTCCTCCTCTCCTCTCCTCTCCTCTCCTCTCCTCTTCTCTTCACTCCTCTCCACTCTTCTCGCTTTGCTTTCCCCCTTTTTCCTGCATTTTTTCCTCTTTCTCTTTTCTTCCCTTCTTTCCCCATTATTTTTATTTTCCTTCTGGTTCTTCATTTTAGATTTTTTTGTAATAATCTTTAGTTGCTCTGATGTATGAATGGCTTTGACCCATTTTAAAAACTGTTTTGGCCCCTAGTACATATTATTTTGTGAAATAAAAAGTTGAGGTTGTATGTTGTTGCTTATTCTAATGCTCCAAAAGAAGTTGTAATTGAATGCATCTCTTCTCTTCTCTTCTCTTCTCTTCTCTTCTCTTCTCTTCTCTTCTCCTCTCCACTCTTCTCGCTTTGCTTTCCCCCCTTTTCCTACACTTTTTCCTCTTTCTCTTTTCTTCCCTTCTTTCCCCATTATTTTTATTTTCTTTCTGGTTCTTCATATTAGATTTTTTGACAAAAAGGCTCAGCATCATTTAGAAACAATTCTGAATTTTGTTGTCCATGTAAAACCAGGTATTCCACCTTTTTCTTCAACTTAAAACCTGACTTTTTATGTTGTATTTCATAGTCCTGAGAAGCCATATTCTTAACTAACATTTATTTTATAGGTGACTAAAGCTCCAAAGTCATTTAGTTTCTTTCTCAAATATTCTATAGTGTTTTTTCTGGATAAATCACTCATCAGCAAATGAATGTATAAACTTCCTTTTTAAGATTTATACTTGAGATTTCCTTACGTTGCTTAATATCCTTATTGAAAACTTCCAACCCCGATTTAAACAGCAGGGGAGATGAGGGGCTTCCTGGCCTCGCACCCTTTTGGATTTGACATAGCTTAGTTAAGAATCCATCAATAATAATCTTTGCTTGCTCTGATGTATGGATTGCTTTCACCCATTGGCACCTTAACTATATTATTTGGTGACATAAAAAGTTGAGCTGGTAACTTATTGCTTATTCTACTGCTCCAAAAGAAGATGTAACTCAATGCTTTTCTTTTCTTCTCTGTTCTTCTCTTTTTCCCTTTTTTCTTTCTCTTTTCTTCCTTTCCTTTCCCATTATTTTCATTTTCCTTGTAGTTCACCATATTAGATTTTGATAAGATAGTAAAAGTACATGACTCATCACATTCCTCATACTGTACAGAAGCGCATTAGAAGAATATCAGTCTGAAATGAGAAATTGAACATCCTATTGTAACTTAAATTAGGGTAATGGGATGTGTCAGGAGGAGCCCCCAGTAACTGAAAAGGTCGGAGAAACAAACGTAGGAAGCAGCCGCCTTAATGGATCCAGTAGCAAAAGGTAGTAGTAGGAAGTTTGTAGTTTAAGACTTGCAAGATGCTGTTTGTGTAGCCCTTTTTGCTGAATTTCTGTTTTCTTTATCTCGTGTTTCTCTTAAATGGGTGCCATCTAAATGGGGATATATAAATATCAGATAGATGCCAGAAACATTAGCTGGAAGGGCTGACGCTTCCCTATGAAATCTCTTAGTCCATCCGTCAGTGGGGCCTGTGGAATCGCAGGCTCTTTCATGGTTCCTCCAGCCTGGAGAGAGGATGGCCCAGTTGGCAACAGTCGAAGAAAGTAGGTGAGTTCAAGGCGCCGCGTTGATTGCTGTCCCAACATCCTAAGAAGAGGGAAAAACCACATTGCAAAAAACCACTTGAATCCTATACTCGAGAGAGGAAAAGGCCACATTTGCAGAAAGTGAACCATTTCTTAGTCCTACCCTCCACATCACCCACCTGCTGCAGCACACAAAAACAGATGAGAGTTTGTATCAGCTCCACAACACGAGTAGCCTCCTCGCGATCTTCCAAAATCAGTGGTGGCCTTCAGTAGCTGAGAGATCCGTTCTTGAAGGGATGAGGCGGTCCAAGAACCTGAAAGCAGAAATATCAGAATTTACTGTATTTTAAGTTCAGAAGAATAGAACAGAGCAAATATAACAATAGTGAGGTGGTCAGGAAAAAGTTCATAAAAATATATATCTTAATAGGAATGCTGGATGCTGTTTTAAGTAATAGATAATATTAAGCTTGGATGTGTAGTGTAACCTAAAATAATATAACCTGTGTGTCATTATTGTAAAGAGGTGTTCATGCTATGTAGAAACCATTTTACAAGAAGTGTCAACTGAAAGTCCCAGATGGTGTAAGATATTACCCGTGTAGAGAGGTGTGGTAAGACAACCGTTTGTGTGAACTTCTCCTTTTTCCTTATGTAGCTTCAAGATATAAACTTCTCTGTTTTAGTGTGTCAAAGGTAGATAAGAGCCACCCTAAAGCTAAGGCGTGGGTGGCTAATACTATAAGAATGTAGCCCAGGGTTCAGAATTTGTCATGCGAATGCTCTGAACCATTGTGCACAGATAAAGCCTGTTCTTGTCTTCTGGTGTAAGTATTGTGGTTTTTCCACAACAATAGGGTGTAATAATTGATACTAGATGGGAGAAACGAAGGGACTTTCCTTCAGATAGAGTGGAGCTCCTTTCCATCCACCCTTCAGTGTCCAAGGGCGGCAGGGGGTGAAGACATCAGAGCTCCTCTATTGTTAGGTCTCCTGCATGGGGACAAAAGGTGAGACAAATGAAGGAAGGAAGGTGTCAAATGGAAGGGAAGCGCATGCCTATCAGCACAATGAGAACACCTGAAGGATACAAATTTGTTGAAATTTAAGCTCTTGTCTACGTTGCTGGAAACCAGATAAGGGTAGTCCTCGACTTATGACAATAATTGAGTCAAGAATTTTGGCCAATTTTACGATCCTTTTTATAATAGTTGGTAAGAGAATCACGTGGTCCTACAGTAAATAATGTGGTCATGAATCCAAATCCAGATTATCCAAAGATCAGTTTTCTCATCTTTTTTTTTGCCCAGAAAGCAACAACAACAACAACAAACTTTGCAAAATATGCACACATAAGCGCAATACACTGCAACTGCTCTTAAGTGTGGACTGATTGCCAAGTGCCAAAATGCGATCACAGGACTGCAGGGTTGGTGCGGCAGTTGTAGCTTTGACAATGAGTCACAAGTGCCTTTTTCCCCACTGTCTTAAGGTTGAATAATTGTTACATGATCAGTTGAAAGTTGAGGAGTACTTAAACCCCCATTTGGGATACCAGGTGCGTGGGGGGGGGGAACTGTTGTCCTTCCTTTCATGTGCTGATACCTTCACACACACACACACACACACACACACACACACACACACACACCTTAATGTTCCAAAAGAAAGTTACCTTCATTGATGAACCTGTCCTCATATCCAGCCATCGCAATTTGTACTGGAAAGTGTGGAAAGGCCCGCTGGGCTTCAGTGAGCTGGAAGAGAAAGAAAGAAGGCCATTGTACTGTTGCCAAAGTGTCTTGCTGAGTCATTCCCCCTATTCACTTCGGCCCATCAATACAAACATCAGCTATAAAACACCCTGTCCAGGGATTCCCTAGTCCACCATCAAGTGGAACGAAAGGCAAAAGAACCCCTTGCCCCCCTGCCCTTATCTCCTAAGAGAGAGGGTTGATATGAGAATGGGGTCCCAAAAACAGTGGGGGACCCAAAATTTGCAATCTTATTTTCATTTTTCTACCTACGTTGATCCTACTGTTATGGGTTCCACAGCAGCGCAGCTGATTCCAGGCAGATGAGAAGCATTGCCAGCTGTGTTTCTCAAAGTGCTGTGGAGTTGGAGCAAAAAAATTACCTTTGTTGAGAACTTCCTATTCTCGGGGATCTCATGGTCAAACACACCTGTGTAATTTAGGGTACGTTCTTCAGGTCTTCAAAGCGGCCCTCTCCCTCTATGGCTCCTCCCAACGTCTTAAATTCAGCCTCTTTGGAAGGTGGAAGGTTGGGATGGCATTTCCAGCAAAGGACCCTATAGACACCTTTTGTCTCTTATCTCTAATTCTGGCCATGCCGCATTAGAGTTAAAGAGGCCTCTTTGAGAAGAGGTCCCTGAATGTTGGAAAACAGCGCTTGTGAAAAGCCAAATTCCCATGCTCCTTCATGCCTGTCTTCAAGAACTATCCCTACTTAGATTGTTCAAGTGGAGCATGTCACTGGAGTTCTATCACCTGATTCGGTGGATGTTTGCAAGGGCCCAATTTTCCTTCCAGCTTCCCTGGGACATGGATGCCCTTACCTTCAAAATAAAAATTAAATGCTCCGTTTTCGCCGCTTGTTGCAGAAGGCCTCGGAGCAGGAGGCCAAAGGTCTCCTCCAGCAGCTTCTTCTCTTCCTGAAACGAAGGACAGAGATGATGACGCGTGAAAGGTTTTCCCAGCTGTTCCAGTATCAGAAAGGAACTCCCAGAAGTGTTGCTGAAGGTGGTACCTCTCCAATATTCTCCCCACGGTTGCTCACGGAGGACATCCACATGGACCCAAAGATGTTCAGGAGCTGGGACTCAACTTTTGGGTCCATGGCTGGAGGAATCTTGCTGCGAGATCAAAGGAAATGAGAGACATCAGTGCCCACCTTAGTGAACAGCCCTGGGGTTCATTTTTCCCGAGGGAATAGCAGGTAAAAGAAAGAAAAGGCTGACCTGATGTCATAAACTGCAAGCATTGCAGCTAGTCCTGCCGTGAAGCTGCTGAAATGGTTGTCCTCCATCAGAGCCTGGCAGGAATCAAGAATGGAGAGAAGCAGAGAAGGGAAAGTCAGCCATGATGCTCCAGCCCAGCCCTTCCTATTTCTCCCAGCCCCTTTTCACCTGTTCTTCTGCTACAGCTTCCCTCTCAGTACAAAGGAGGGTTAGCCCCAGGTTAAGGACCCTTTGCACAGTCCACATTTTGACCGTCCAGGCGAAGCTTGTCTCCCCTCCCTCTACTGCTCCTGTCTCTCCGTCCTGCTTTGCTTGCCTCCAATGTCCCCCTGCCTCCCTCTGACTTACCAAGACAGCCAGGCCGTAGAGGTTCTTGTTCCTTGGCTCGGGGACGGCCATTTGCCCCCTCCGCTTCAGCCGAAACAGAGTGGCGATGGAAGAGAGGCCTTCAAGGATACTGCGCTCCTGTTGCAAGAGAAAAGAGTCAGGCTGTGAAACTGGGGAGGCTGTTGGGCAACTGGCCCCCAGAGTCCCCCGGGTTCTCCCTTTCAGAAGGGAAGGTTGAAACCCTTCTGAGTCTCTCTCCATGCCGAGGAAAAGTTTGAATCCCATTGAGACTGGGATTCCCCCCTGGGAGAAAGGCTGAGCTATGGGACCCTCTGATTCCCAGGGGTACCTACTGGTTGGTTTGTCTTGTGCATCCTCTCATGGACCTCTTCCCATATCTTCTGGCTCCTCCATCGGTCTCTTCTGCAGCAAGAAGCCTGGCGTGGTGTATTTTCTTCTTTTCTGATGTCCTTTGTCTTGAAGAAAATCTTCTTCTTCTTTTCTGTCGTGTCCTTTCTGGGGAGATCTGGGAATGGAGAGGCAGGTGCTCGGCAAAGTTTTAGGTCTCCCCCAGATGAAGAAAACCCTCCAAGACCTGGCTCATCTTTGCAGTGTTCTTCCCCTTGTGACCTGATTCTCCCTATTAGACAGTTGTTAATTGACTTTTGTCCCATTTTATTACCTTCCTTGCCACTGTTGTTAATTGGATCATTGCTTCCCTGTTGATTTTTGTTGTCAGAAGTTTGCAAACAGTGTTCACAAGTCCCTGGGATACTACAATCGTCATAATTAGGAGTCAGGGTCTGAATTCGATCATGTGACTGTGGGGATTCTGCAGTGGTTGTAAGTGTGAAAAAAGATCATGTCATTTTTCTCAGTGCTATTATACCTTGAAACGGTCATTCCATGGACTGTTGTAAGTCAAGGACCACCTGTCTATCTCTACATGGAGGAATCCCCTCCTAAAGAGCTGCTTCTTCTCCTTCTCAGGGTCCCAGCCCATCTCTGAGCATCTACTCACCACATCGCTCCACTTTATGGAGCTCCACATCAACGACAAAAGAGACTTTTCTTCGCTCAGGAGTCTTGGTGCTGTCCTCCAGTCGGCAGGTTGGAGAACTGGGAGCGTCAGCCCCTGGAAGGCTCACCTTCCTTGTTTTCCTCCGCAAGCAGGAAAATAACTTGAAGAAGGCTCTAGAAGAGAGAAAAAGGAATGGAAGGAAAGAACTGAAGCCTATTTTCCAGAATCCGTTGGATTTAAGAAAGCAGAGTGGAAAAAGAATGCTTCTGGGTTGAGCTCATCACTTTTAACCTTGGTTTGATTTTACAGGACTGAATGTGTTCCACAACCACGTGAGTTTTGATATTTTACAATTTTCCTTATTTTGGAGCTTAAGTACGTCCTGTGATCCTGATTAGTTGGGGAGTAACCAACCCAGTCTCTTCGCGCCAATAAGGAATTAAAGGTAAAAGAGCTCTGGAACAAATTTTCCCCAGTCCCCCTTTCCTAAGAGGACAACAAAGTGCTGTTCCCATTTCCCAATCCTCTGAGAAGTTGGCTACACAATGGGGGAGAGCCCTGCAGCCCTTCTGAAGACCTCCTTACCTCTTGAAAGCCATCTTCACTCAGATCGCCCAAAGAAAGTGACAGTTGAGCTGGATGGATGACATCATCAACTGAATAGAATCCCCAGGAGATGACAGGCCTCCCTTGGCATCCAATCAAAGCTCACCTTCCCCACCTTTTCTACACACACCAATGCCAGCCCAGATCTCTAGCAACCTACTAACAAAGTACCAAAGCTGCCTATTTCTCATCTTTTGGCACAGGAGGCATGGCTCTTTGCTTGTAGACTGCCTCTTCATATGGAAGCTCGGGCCTAGAGTTTTGTGGTGACTACATTGATTATTATATTATTATGCTGATTAAAACCATCTATCTGGTGGAGCACAGTAAAATAGTGAATGCTGGAGCACAGCTACTTTCAACTAGATGCAGCTGACATGTTTTTTCCTGAGTCACACAGAATGGGTTTGTTGCATTTGTCTCTCTTGTTTGTTCAATCTGTGAGAACTTAAAATCCTAAGTACACATCCTGAGTCCCTCACGAGTAGAACCCTTCTTCATGTCTTTTAGTATCCAGTCCCCTAATCATCTTTATTGCTCTTTTCTGCTCTCTTTCCAGAGTCTCTACATCTTTTCTATAATAGGGTGACCAAAACCTGATGCAGTATTTTAAGAGGGGTATTACTCAGACCTTATAAAGTGATACTAATACTTCATATGATCTTGATTCTATCCCTTTCTTAAGGCAACCTCGGATTGAGTTGGCATTTTTGGCTGCCTGCACACTTCTGGCTTATATATATTGGGATAAATAAAAAAAACACACAGCATGGCAATACAAAGGAAATAGGACCAACAACTGTATCACTGACTCTTGCTCAGTCAGCTAGCTGAGTGGAGCTTCCATATGAAAAGGGAGTCTACAACCAAAGAACCATGCCTTCTGTGGCAAAAGATGAGAAATAGGCAGGTTTAGTGATTTATTTCCAGAATCCCTTGGATTTAAGAAAGCAGAGTGGAAAAATAATGCTTCTGAGTTGAGCTTATTAATTTTAATCTTGGTTTGGTTGTACAGGACTGAATGTGTTCCACAACCATGTGAGTTTTCAAATTTTAAAATTTTCCTTAATTTGGAGCTTAAGTATGCCATGCGATCCTGATTAGTTGGGGAGTAACCAACCCAGTTTCTTAGCGCCAATAAGGAATTAAAGATAAAACTGCTCTGGAACAAATTTGCCCCAGGTCCCTTTTCCTAAGAGGACAACAAAGGGCTGTCCCCATCCCTGGAATCTCCCAATCCTCTGAGAAGTTGGCTCTAAACTGGAGAAGAGCCCAGCAGCCCTTCTGAAGACCTCTTTACCTCTTGAAAGCCATCTTCCCTCAGATCGCCCAAAGAAAGTGGCAGTTGAGCTGGATGGATGACATCATCAACTGAATAGAATCTCTGGGAGATGACAGGCCTCCCTTGGGATCCCATCAAAGCGGTTGGAGGAGCTTCAGAAGAGAGGAAGTGGCTCTCAGTGGGTTGTCCTGGGATCTGTCTCTGCGCCATCTTGAATTTGGCAGAAGAGAGCCCCCCCCATAGCCCAGAGTTGGTGCTGAGCAATTACAACTAATGTAGTTTTCTAATGTGTATAATAAAAGATCTGTATCTGCAAGTGTCTGTCATTTATAACGAAATGGAGGTTTATTTCTGAATTGCCCTCGTAATTGAAGGAAGTGAACATATCTAATCCTCCTTCCTCTTCTTTTCCATAACAACAACCCTGTGAGGTGGGTCAGGCTGAGAGAGAGTGACCGGCACAAAGTCACCCAGCGGTTTTATTGCCTCATTCAGCATTCAGACTCAGTGCCTCCTGGTTTCCAGCCAGGTGCCTTAACCACCAGAGCAAACTGGCTCTAATACTATCCTGGACTTTATCCCCACCCCAATTTTTCTCTTTTAGTCCACCAGCTTCTTTCACCTTCCTGCTCACAAATCCTATTAGTGTATTTCTTAGCTTTTGCATTTGATTGTCCTAAGGAGAGAAGAATCTATGGACACCCTTGAACTGAAAGCTTTAACTCTGGCAAATGTTCAGCCTTGAGATAAGATACTCATTAAAGCAGCTTTTTCTGTTTTTTGCCTGATTCCTCTGATTCTCCACTTATTTCTTTTACCCTGATCCTGCATCTTGGCCAGATCCAATCAAAAGTCAGTTGCACCTTGCTGAGCTTTTGCCAGATTGAGCTGGTTTTTCCACAGAGCATCGGCCCCTCGACTAGCGGTCTGGGCAAGCCCTGAGCCCGGAGGAGTCAAGCCTTTCCTCGGCTGATTGCTTTGTTTGGACGTCCCTGCCAAGCCCTTCCGAATCCAAGGGGCTGATTTATCCCCTTCCTCCTTGAACGCTGCTTTAAGCTCCTTTGCCTCATTTTTTTTTAACTGAGTCGACTTTGAGTGTTATGTATTATTAAGAACCAATAGTAATGTATTGTGAAACTAATATACCTCCTACTGTTTTGGAGGGAAACTTTAAGAATTCAAATTTGGGTGAGAGCGAGCTATGTTGCAATTGGCTGATGCCCTAGAGGCGGAAAGTATAAATTGCAGGCATTTTGCTGGTTTTAGACAGTTCTGTTCTGACTTAATAAACACTGTTTTACTATACCAGTCTGGTCATTGTGTACAAAAGGTACTACACAATATTGAGGCTCTTTCTCCTGGCCTCAGTCAGCTTTCACGCCCCCTGATGAGGCGTTTCTTCTTCCCTGCTGGGGTCCTGGATTCTTCCCTCTCAGCCTGAATTCCTCCGCCATTTCAAAGATGGCCCCTTTTGAGGCCTTGTTTCTCTTGCTAGCCTTGCCATTGAAGTAATATGGCTGCATATTACTTCAAGGAAAAAGGCAGGGCTCAGCCCAAAAGCTGGGCCGGGAGGACAGCAAAGGGCTCGGCAGGTCAGAAAAGGACCCAGAGAGAACATTGGCTTTAAGCCGACAAATGGTTCAGCACTCTGTTTTCTTTTTGTTAAAGGAAGCCAAACACGTACGTCTCATGACATCATGTATTATACAAACCCAACTTTGGCCTTGTGGTGAAATCACCAGTCTACAAAGTGGGAGACTGTGAGTTTAAGTCCCACCTTAGCCAGGAAAGCTGGCTGGGAGACTTTGGGCCAATCACTCTTAGCCCAGCCCAACTGACAGGGTTGTTGTTGTGGGGAAGAAGGGGGGAGGAAGGTTTGTTGGCTTTGTTTGCTGTCTTGAGTTATTTGTAAAAGTAATAAAGGTGGGATATAAACAAACAAACCCAGGAAATTAGGTCAGAGCCACACACTTCTGGCTCATATATATATATAGGGACAAATAAAAAAACACACAGCATGGCAATACAAAGGGAATAGGAATGGAAGCTGACCAACAACTATATAAGTGACTCTTGCTGAGTCAGTTAGCTGAGTTGAGCTTTGGTATGAAAAGGGAGTCTACAACCAAAGAGCCATGCCTTCTGTGGCAAAAGATGAGAAATAGGCAGCTTTGGTGCTTTGTTGGTAGGTTCCTAGAGACCTTGGTCTGGCATTGGTGTGTGTAGAAATGGTGGAGAAAATGATCTTTGATAGGATCCCAAAGGAGGCTTGTCATAATCATCTCCTTGGGCATTCTACTGGTTTGATGATGTCATCCATCCAGCTCAACTGTCAGTTACTCTCAGCTCTCAGTGATCTGAGTGAAGATGGCTGCTGACATGTGAGTAGTCTTCAGAAGGGCTGCTGGGCTCTGGGTAACCTTCCCCAGTGTAGCCACCTTCTCAGGGGATTGGGAGATTCCAGAGGTGGGAATGCCATTTGTGATCCTCTTAGGAAAGGTAAATAAGGGGCAAAAGTGTTCTAGAGCAGTTTTACCTTTCATACCTGCTAAAAGTGTAGATTGATTACTTTCCAATTGAGGAGGATCGCTTAGCATCCTTAACCTCTGAATTAGGAAACACCTTTGAAATTTGATAAACTCAGTTTCCTGTGAAACATGTCCAGTAATATAAAACCAAACCAAGGTTAAAAGTGATGAGTTCAAGCCAGAAGTACAATTTTCCACTCAGTTTCTTTCATCACAGGATGTTCTTGTGTGATTGAACATATGTTCAGTTGAATCAAAGTGACTCTACTCCTTCCCTTCCCTTCCCTTCCTTCCCTTCCCTTTCCCCCCCAACATAAATGTTCTTAATCTCTATAATGTGACCATGGGAAGCTGCAAAGAACCTTGAATCTGGGTCATGGGTGGCTCTGGGCTCCGTTGTACCTTTGAATGGTTGCTAAGTGACCAATCATAAGTTGAGAACTATCTGCAAAGAATTCATATTGTGTTTATGACACACGAATGGCTTCTTCCAGATAGCTAGGTACAAACTTTTCTATATAAAAATTTGCTTTAAATGTAGTTTTCTATTTATGACAATAGAGCACAAGGCAGTTGTTAAATGTGTCATGCCCCGTTTCATGCCCTGTTTGCTGTGGTTGTGCAGTGAGTCAGAAGCTGTTAAGTGAATCGTGTGCTTGTTAGGCAACTCTGGCTTCCCCCCTTGATTTTGCTCATCAGAAGCCAGCTGGGACGCTTGCAAAAGATGATCACGTGACTCTGGGACAGAGCAACTGTCATAAATAGGAGCCAGTTGTCCAGTGTCTGAATTTGGATCACCTGACCATGAAGATTCTCTAATGGTACCAAGTGTGAAAAGCAGTCAGAAGCCACTCTTTTCAGTGACCTTGTAACTTCAAGCGGCCTGTAAACAAACTGTTGTATGTTGAAGAGCCCCGAGGGTGGAGAGATGGAGGATGCTGGAGGACGGGGGGGGGGGGTCTTCCTATTGCAAGGAAGGAAGAATCTGGAGGAAACGTCCCTCTTGAGCTCATCTGGATGAACAAGGCAGTTGCTTCTCTCGGCTTCCCTCTGTCTGAAGGCATCTGGTGACAATCGGGTGCAGGAGAGAAGAACCTCTGTTGGGCCACCATTCTTCATTCTTCACTGCTTCCGGGTGATCCAGGTGATCCGGTTGCCGGTTGGGGTGTCTAGAAGCATCTCTTTCCCCACTTTCCAAGGTCATTCCCCAGGAGGAAACCTCCGAGAGCTCAGCTGGATCGTGTTTGCAAGCCTTCTGCTCAGGCAGAGGACTGGACTAGAAGACCTCCAAGGGCCCTTCCAAGCCTGTTATTCTAGGTTCTAGACATACACAGGCTCTGGATGTACTTTTTCTTTGATATAATAAGATCTGCTAAAACAACAACAAACTATCTAACAGCAAAACCCAAATTCAAAGTTTTTTCCCACCTCAAGCTGTTTGCCAAATCTGGCTCCAGAAGTTCTGCCTTGTGCTACGTGCTTTTCCAATAAACAAACGAGTCAGAAAATGATTTAAAAGCATTTTATAAGGGAGTTTGATCAAGTGGGGGCTCCGTATGAAAAGGGGGAACTTTGTTAAAATGGTTTACATTGACTTTTATATTAGCACAACAAAGAACTTCAAAGCAAACAGTCATGGGTCCAGTTAAAATAACAGAAATTAAAGCATCCAATAATATGTGAGCACAGCCATAGAAAAGAGCATTGCATGCTCCGTAAAAGAAATATTTGCAAAGGGAAAACCTCTAAATGTGTCTGGGTAAGAAACATTCTCAGCTCTTCCCAAGGTTGAGCTTGAATCTTTGCTTTGATCACGGAGGCTTCAGAACAGCTGAAAGGGAGACTGTGGTCTGCAGTGCATGGAAAGCTCTCCTGCCAGTCCCCGTCTCTGAAAGGGAGGCATTTTTCTGAAAGTGAAGGCTTATGGGAACTTATGAGTCATACTTTGGAAAAAGCAAATTTAAAATACAAAAAAAAAAACTCCATGTTAGTTAGCCAGTGCAAGAGTTCAACAAAAACCATATTTCAGTTATTACAAAGTCCATCGAAGCACAAAGCACAAGTCCAAAAGAGGTTTCCAATAGAAACAAAATTGTGTTCTTTTCTCTAATTAAAGCAGTTCATTTAGTGTCTTTCTTAACTCCATCAACTTTTGCAGCCAGTTGTCCACTGTGGGAATCAAAGTATCCTTCCATTTTTGTGGAATTATTCTTCCTCTGGCAGCATATATAACATCAAAGTTCCATTTCTTTCAAGTTCTTTATCTGTTCAGGCTGAGAGAAAAGTCTCTGAATTTCTCTTGATATTCACTTTAAGAATCTTCTGTATTAAGAAATGAATCCTACAACACTTTTCTTTGTGCCATGTCCACCATAAATGGTAAAATGTTCCTTCTTTACATTTACATTTCCAACATTCATTTGAACGCCATTATACATTCTTGACAATTTGTCTGGTGTTAGATACCAGTAGTATATCATCTTGTAAAAATTTTCTTTTATGCTATAATTTAAAATTTAAAACTTTTGTCCATATGTATTCCCATTGTTGAAGCATTTAATTATATCCAAGATTCTTTGCCCACTGAATCATACAATGCTTTACAAATTCAATAGCAATTTGTAAACCTTCACAATAATAAGTTAATCACTACTACACAACAAAATTTGCAATTCATCTTTTACAAAATGAAATCCATAGATTTTTAAAAATCTAATTATTTCCTTCAACTGTGAATATATAAATCAACGGCCAACACTGCCTTCTAATTGCAACTCTTCTTTAGATTTGAGGATGGAGTTACCATAACTGAAAAATATTATTTGACCATAAGTCCACTGGTCTAGCCTCACCACCAATTCTTTTCCAAAAAAACAACACAAAGCTTCATGGGACGACACCAAAGGGGTATGTTTGCAGAGAACCTTATTTGGTATTTATTTCAAACTCTTAGGATGGCACATCTAACAAAATGGTTGTTGAAATCAACGTTTCCTTCAACCTTTTTGTGGCATAAATTGGCGTGCCACCCAAATCTTAATTCATGACCCTACAGCTCAACTCTCCTCTTATTTTAGAGAGTCACCCGCTCTTTTAGCCAGACCAAATAACAGGCAGCAACATACAATTTCAAATCTGGTAAACCCAAACCTCCTCTTGGGTTAGCATTTTGCAATTATTGATACCTAATTCTTGTTTTTTTCCTCCTTGCCATATAAACCTTTGAGATGTCTGTCTGACATTGTTTAAATGGAGCATCAGGGACAGTAAAAGAGTCTGAAACACAAAAAGCATCTTTGGTAGGACATTCATCTTAATTACAGAGATTCTACCTAATTGTCATGCCTCCATCCCAGCTTGAATCCCAGGGGGAGCAGGACCCTCTTGAGGTGCAGGAGGAGATGTCTGTGGCTTCGGAGGACCATGGGGAGGAGCAGGCTGAGGCAGGCCAGGGCCCTTCAGGTTTGGACAGGGGAGGCAGAGTTCAGGCATGGAGCAAGCTCTCCCCCCACCTGATCCTAGAGCAAGGAGAGCAGAGAGGAGGAGAGAACAAAGTATGGAGGAACAATTGCTCGGGAGGAGAGCGGCCTGCCCCACTCCACAAGGCACGCCTGGGGATGAAGATTTAAGGAGATGCTGTGGAGTGGGGCATTTGCCGGGAACAAACGTGGTATCTTGGGACAGTTGTGAATTGTGCTCTTGTCTTTGTTTAACCTGGACACCTTGAGTACCGGACCAGCTGTTTTCCTGCTTGATGACCACAGACTGCATTCTGAGTCTCTCCTTGCAGACTGCAGGCAAGCTGAGATTTCAAAGGACTCATTAAGTTTCTGTTTTGTTTTCTTGTTATCTGTCTGGCCTTGAGGACATTGTATACTTCTCCAGCTGTATTGAAATTGCCTTCATCCAGAAGCAGGTGAAAGGAAGTTGCATGTGTGCTTTGGCTGAAGGCTTGCCAGCATATGTGGGAGCTTTTGGGGAACATTGGCAGTTATTAAAGGACTTTTTCTCTTGCAAGCCGACTGCTTTGTCTTCGTGCGGGGCCCTGGGTCATCACATCAATAAGTTATTTGCAATTTATCTCATCCTAATAAGTCTTTTTTACTTTTGTGACAAAAAGTCTGAAAGTTATTTTGAAAAAGTTCAGAATTTTGTTGTCTATGTAAATCCAGGTATTCCAGCTTTTTCTCCAACTTAAAACCTGACTTTTTATTTAGTATTTCATAGTCCTGAGAATCCATATTCTTAACAAACATGGTTGTTTTCTGTTTATTTATTTTATAGGCGATTAAAGCTCAAAAGTCATTTAGTTTCTTTATGAAATATTGTATAGTGTTTTTTTCTGAATAAATAACTCATCAGCAAATGCTGTCAGTTTGTAATCTTCCTTTCTAAGATTTATACTTGTAAAGTTTTCATCTTGCCTAATATCCTTATTGAAAACTTCCAACACCGATTTAAACAGCAGGGCAGATAAGGGGCTTCCTGGCCTCGCAACCTTTTGGATTTGACATGACTTAGTTAAGAATCCATCAATAATAATCTTTGCTTGCTCTGATGAATGAATTGCTTTGACCCATTTTATAAACTGTTTTGGCCCCTAGTATATATTATTTTGTGAAATAAAAAGTTGAGGTTGTATGTTGTTGCTTATTCTACTGCTCCAAAAGAATTTGTAATTCAATGCTTCTCTTCTCTTCTCTTCTCTTCTCTTCTCTTCTCTTCTCTTCTCTTCTCTTCTCTTCTCTTCTCTTCTCTCTTCTCTTCTCTTCTCTCTTCTCCTCTCTTTTCTTCTCTTCTCCTCTCCTCTCCTCTCCTTTCCTCTTCTCTTCTCTCCTCTCCACTCTTCTCGCTTTGCTTTCCCCCTTTTTCCTACCCTTTTTCCTCGTTCTCTTTTCTTCCCTTCTTTCCCCATTATTTTTATTTTCCTTCTGGTTCTTCATTTTAGATTTTTTGTAATAATCTTTAGTTGCTCTGATGTATGAATTGCTTTGACCCATTTTATAAACTGTTTTGGCCCCTAGTATATATTATTTTGTGAAATAAAAAGTTGAGGTTGTATGTTGTTGCTTATTCTAATGCTCCTAAAGAAGTTGTAATTCAGTGCTTCTCTTCTCTTCTCTTCTCTTCTCTTCTCTTCTCTTCTCTTCTCTTCTCTTCTCTTCTCTTCTCTTCTCTTCTCTTCTCTTCTCTTCTCTTCTCTTCTCTCCTCTCCTCTCCTCCTCTCCTCTCCTCTCCTCTTCTCTTCACTCCTCTCCACTCTTCTCGCTTTGCTTTCCCCCTTTTTCCTACACTTTTTCCTCTTTCTCTTTTCTTCCCTTCTTTTCCCATTATTTTTATTTTCTTTCTGCTTCTTCATATTAGATTTTTTGACAAAAAGGCTCAACATCATTTAGAAACAATTCTGCATTTTGTTGTCCATGTAAAACCAGGTATTCCACCTTTTTCTCCAACTTAAAACCTGACTTTTTATTTTGTATTTCATAGTCCTGAGAAACCATATTCTTAACTAACATTGTTCTTTTCTGTTGATTTATTTTATAGGCGACTAAAGCTCCAAAGTCATTTAGTTTCTTTCTCAAATATTCTATAGTGTTTTTTCTGGATAAATAACTCATCAGCAAATGAATGTATAAACTTCCTTTTTAAGATTTATACTTGTGATTTCCTCATGTTGCTTAATATCCTTATGAAAACTTCCAACCCTGATTAAAATAGCAGGGCAGATAAGGGGCTTCCTGGCCTCGCACCCTTTTGGATTTGACATGGGTTAGTTAAGAATCCATCAATAATAATCTTTGCTTGCTCTGATATATGGATTGCTTTCACCCATTGGCACCTTATCTATATTATTTTGTGACATAAAAAGTTGAGGTTGTAACTTATTGCTTATTCTACTGCTCCAAAAGAAGATGTAACTCAATGCTTTTCTCTTCTTCTCTGTTCTTCTCTTTTTCCCTTTTTTCTTTCTCTTTTCTTCCTTTCCTTTCCCATTATTTTCATTTTCCTTGTAGTTCACCATATTAGATTTTGATAAAATAGTAAAAGTACATGACTCATCCCATTCCTCATACTGTACAGAAGCGCATTAGAAGAATATCAGTCTGAAATGAGAAGTTGTGCTGGAAAAGGACATCCTATTGTAACCTAAATTAGGGTAATGGGATGTGTCAGGAGGAGCCCCCAGTAACTGAAAAGGTCGGAGAAACAAACGTAGGAAGCAGCCGCCTTAATGGATCCAGTAGCAAAAAGTAGTAGTAGGAAGTTTGTAGTTTAAGACTTGCAAGATGCTGTTTGTGTAGCCCTTTTTGCTGAATTTCTATTTTCTTTATCTCGTGTTTCTCTTAAATGGGTGCCATCTAAATGGGGATATATATATATCAGATAGATGCCAGAAACATTAGCTGGAAGGGCTGACGCTTTCCTATGAAATCTCTTAGTCCATCCGTCAGTGGGGCCTGTGGAATCGCAGGCTCTTTCATGGTTCCTCCAGCCTGGAGAGAGGACAGCCCAGTTGGCAACAGTCGAAGAAAATAGGTGAGTTCCAGGCGCCGCGTTGATTGCTGTCCCAACATCCTAAGAAGAGGGAAAAACCACATTGCAAAAAACCACTTGAATCCTATACTCGAGAGAGGAAAAGGCCACATTTGCAGAAAGTGACCCATTCCTTAGTCCAACCCTCCACATCACCCACCTGCTGCAGCACACAAAAACAGATGAGAGTTTGTATCTGCTCCACAACACGAGTAGCCTCCTCGCGATCTTCCAAAATCAGTGGTGGCCTTCAGTAGCTGAGAGATCCGTTCTTGAAGGGATGAGGCGGTCCAAGAACCTGAAAGCAGAAATTTCAGAATTTACTGTATTTTAAGTTCAGAAGAGTAGAACAGAGCAAATATAACAATAGTGAGGTGGTCAGGAAAAAGTTCATAAAAATATATATCTTAATAGGAATGCTGGATGCTGTTTTAAGTAATAGATAATATTAAGCTTGGATGTGTAGTGTAACCTAAAATAATATAACCTGTGTGTCATTATTGTAAAGAGGTGTTCATGCTATGTAGAAACCATTTTACAAGAAGTGTCAACTGAAAGTCACAGATGGTGTAAGATATTACCCGTGTAGAGAGGTGTGGTAAGACAACCGTTTGTGTGAACTTCTCCTTTTCCCTTATGTAGCTTTAAGATATAAACTTCTCTGTTTTAGTGTGTCAAAGGTAGATAAGAGCCACCCTAAGGCTAAGGCATGGGAGGCTAATACTATAAGAATTATTCCCTGGAAGTAGCCCAAGGTTCAGAATTTGTCATGCGAATGCTCTGAACCATTGTGTACAAATAAAGCCTGTTTTCTCCAGCCCTTCATGGTCTTGTCTTCTGATGTAAGTATTGTGGTTTTTCCAGAACAATGGGGTGTAATAATTGATACTAGATGGGAGAAACGAAGGGACTTTCCTTCAGATAGAGTGGAGCTCCTTTCCATCCACCCTTCAGTGTCCAAGGGCGGCAGGGGATGAAGACATCAGAGCTCCTCTATTGTTAGGTCTCCTGCATGGGGACAAAAGGTGAGACAAATGAAGGAAGGAAGGTGTCAAATGGAAGGGAAGCGCATGCCTATCAGCACAATGAGAACACCTGAAGGATACAGATTTGCTGAAATTTAAGCTCTTGGCTACATTGCTGGAAACCAGATAAGGGTACTCCTCGACTTATGACAATAATTGAGTCCAGAATTTTGGCCAATTTTACGATCCTTTTTATAATAGTTGGTAAGAGAATCACGTGGTCCTACAGTAAACAATGTGGTCATGAATCCAAATCCAGATTATCCAAAGATCAGTTTTCTCATCTTTTTTTTTGCCCAGAAAGCAACAACAACAACAACAAACTTTGCAAAATATGCACACATAAGCGCAATACACTGCAACTGCTCTTAAGTGTGGACTGATTGCCAAGTGCCAAAATGCGATCACAGGACTGCAGGGTTGGTGCGGCAGTTGTAGCTTTGACAATGAGTCACAAGTGCCTTTTTCCCCACTGTGTCCTAAGGTTGAATAATTGTTACATGATCAGTTGAAAGTTGAGGAGTACTTAAACCCCCATTTGGGATACCAGGTGCGTGGGGGGGGGGGAACTGTTGTCCTTCCTTTCATGTGCTGATACCTTCACACACACACACACACACACACACCCCTTAATGTTCCAAAAGAAAGTTACCTTCATTGATGAATCTGTCCTCATATCCAGCCATCGCAATTTGTACTGGAAAGTGTGGAAAGGCCCGCTGGACTTCAGTGAGCTGGAAGAGAAAGAAAGAAGGCCATCATATTGTTGCCAAAGTGTCTTGCTGAGTCATTCCCCATGTTCACTTGGGCCCATCAATACAAACATCAGCTATAAAACACCCTGTCCAGGGATTCCCTAGTCCACCATCAAGTGGAACGAAAGGCAAAAGAACCCCTTGCCCCCCTGCCATTTTCTCCTAAGAGAGAAGGTTGATATGAGGATGGGGTCCCAAAAACAGTGGAGGTCCCAAAATTTGCAATCTTGTTTTCATTTTTCTACATACGTTGATCCTACTATTATGGGTTCCACAGCAGCGTAGCTCATTCCAGGCAGACGAGAAGCATTGCCAGCCGTGTTTCTCAAAGTGCTGTGGAGTTGGAGCAAAAAAATTACCTTTGTTGAGAACTTCCTATTCTCGGGAATCTCATGGTCAAACACACCTGTGTAATTTAGGGTACGTTCTTCAGGCCTTTAAAGCGGCCCTCTCCCTCTATGGCTACTCCTGCCGTGAAGCTGCTGAAACGGTTGTCCTCCATCAGAGCCTGGCAGGAATGAAGAATGGAGAGAAGTAGAGAAGGGAAAGTCAGCCATGATGCTCCAGCCCAGCCCTTCCTATTTCTCCCAGCCCCTTTTCACCTGTTCTTCTGCTACAGCTTCCCTCTCAGTACAAAGGAGGGTTAGCCCCAGGTTAAGGACCCTTTGCACAGTCCACATTTTGTCAGACCAGGGGTAGTTTTTGTCCCCTCCATTTACTGCTCCTGTCTCTCCGTCCTGCTTTGCTTGCCTCCAATGTCCCCCTGCCTCCCTCTGACTTACCAAGACAGCCAGGCCGTAGAGGTTCTTGTTCCTTGGCTCGGGGACGGCCATTTGCCCCCTCCGCTTCAGCCGAAACAGAGTGGCGATGGAAGAGAGGCCTTCAAGGATACTGCGCTCCTGTTGCAAGAGAAAAGAGTCAGGCTGTGAAATTGGGGAGGCTGTTGGGCAACTTGCCCCCAGGGTCCCCCATGTTCTCCCTTTCAGAAGGGAAGGTTGAAACCCTTCTGAGTCTCTCTCCATGCCGAGGAAAATTTTGAACCCCATTGAGACTGGGATTCCCCCCTGGGAGAAAGGCTGAGCTACGGGACCCTCTGATTCCCCGGGGTACCTACTGGTTGGTCTGTCTTCTGCATCCTCTCATGGACCTCTTCCCATATCTTCTGGCTCCTCCATCGGTCTCTTCTGCAGCAAGAAGCCTGGCGTGGTGTATTTTCTTCTTTTCTGATGTCCTTTGTCTTGAAGAAAATCTTCTTCTTCTTTTCTCTCGTGTCCTTTCTGGGGAGATCTGGGAATGGAGAGGCAGGTGTTCGGCAAAGTTTTAGGTCTCCCCCAGATGAAGAAAAGCCTCCAAAACCAGGATCATCTTTGCAGCGTTCTTCCCCTTGTGACCCAATTCTCCTTATTAGACAGTTGTTAACTGACTTTTGTCCCATCTTATTACCTTCCTTGCCACTGTTGTTAATTGGATCATTGCTTCCCGATTGATTTTTGTTGTCAGAAGTTTGCAAACGGTGATCACAAGTCCCTGGGATACTACTATCGTCATAATTAGGAGTCAGGGTCCGAATTCGATCATGTGACTGTGGGGATTCTGCAGTGGTTGTAAGTGTGAAAAAAGATCATGTCATTTTTCTCAGTGCTATTGTACCTTGAAACGGTCATTCCATGGACTGATGTAAGTCAAGGACCACCTGTCTATCTCTACATGGAGGAATCCCCTCCTAAAGAGCTGCTTCCTCTCCTTCTCAAGGTCCCAGCCCGTCCCTGAGCATCTACTCACCACATTGCTCCACTTTCTGGAGCTCCACATCCACGACGAAAGCGACTTTTCTTCGCTCAGGAGTCTTGGTGCTGTCCTCCAGTCGGCAGGTCGGAGAACTGGGGGCATCGGCTTCTGTAAGGCTCACCTTCCTTGTTTTCCTCCGGAAGCAGGAAAATAACTTGAAGAAGGCCCTAGAAGAGAGAAAAAGGAATGGAAGGAAACAACTGAAGCCTATTTTCCAGAATCCGTTGGATTTAAGAAAGCAGAGTTGAAAAACAACGCTTCTGGGTTGAGCTCATCACTTTTAACTTTGGTTTGGTTTTACAGGACTGAATGTGTTCCACAACCACATGAGTTTTGATATTTTACAATTTTCCTTATTTCGGAGCTTAAGTACGTCCTGTGATCCTGATTAGTTGGGGAGTAACCAACCCAGTCTCTTCGTGCCAATAAGGAATTAAAGGTAAAAGAGCTCTGGAACAAATTTGCCCCAGTCCCCCTTTCTTAAGAGGACAACAAAGGACTGTTCCCATCCCTGGAATCTCACAATCCTCTGAGAAGTTGGCTATACAATGGGGAAGAGCCCAGCAGCCGTTCTGGAGACCTCCTTACCTCTTGAAAGCCATCTTCACTCAGATCGCCCAAAGAAAGTGGCAGTTGAGCTGGATGGATGACATCATCAACTGAATAGAATCCCCAGGAGATGACAGGCCACCCTTGGGATCCAATCAAAGCTCACCTTCCCCACCTTTTCTACACACACCAATGCCAGCCGAAATCTCTAGCAACCTACTAACAAAGCACCAAAGCTGCCTATTTCTCATCTTTTGGCTCAAGAGGCATGGCTCTTTGCTTGTAGACTGCCTCTTCTTATGGAAGCTCCACTGAGCTAGCTGACTGAGCAAGACTCCCTTATACAACTCCTGGTCAGCTTCCAGTTCGGTTCCCTTTGTGATTAGATGTTGGGTTTCTTTTGGTATCAATATCTCTCTGTGTAGGGTTTGTTATTTCTGCTTAGATGCAGAAACTTTTTTTCTGAATTCCAAAGTATTGTTAAGGACAGAGAGAGAAAGAAAGAGATAGAGATAAGTGAGATAGAGATAGAGATAGAGAGAGAAGGGGGGGGGGAGGGAGAGAATAATTCTCTCCCTGGGTTTTTAGATTTAGATATATTCCCCATAAGCAGTCCAGACCAGAAAAATAATTATAGAACAGATTCTGTTCAAACAAAATATTTTGTAGCTTAATGACGCTGAATATCAAATCACAAGATTCTCTTTTAGACAAGTTCCAGTATTGAGGGATGCTGCTCTTTTCAGAAAGCCAAAGTATCAGTCATTTCCTTTTTATCCAAGAGGACTATGTCTTCCATGGTAGACTGCCCCTTGGTACTGAAGCCCTATTAAGCCACACACTTATGTGAGACTTATCATGACAGCTTTCATTTCCATCTCTTCCTCTTCAGTTTAGCTGATTTTCAACACCAATGGTTCATCTGAGTTTTCATAACATTTCACAGTAGACTTCTGAACTTATAGTTGAACTACACTCCATGAACTTCACTAGCAGTACTCCTTTGGCATCTTCACATTTGGCAGGATTTTCTATGGCACCACTTCCGGTGTGGTGTTGGTTCACGATAATGCTCGCCCGCACACCGATAGACGCACCAAGAACTTTTGAAGCACTTCCGTTCTGATGTTTTTGATCCCCCCCCCCCCATCACCCAGATTTGGTGCCGAGCAACTACTAAGGAATTCAAACCTTGTAAGACATTATGACAAGTGCCTCAATTAAAATGGCGATTATGTCAAAAAGTAATGTAATGTACTTTTCTAATATGTATAATAAAAGTTCTGTATCTGCGAGTGTCTGTCATTGATAACCAAACGGAGGTTTATTTCCTTCATAATTCAAGGATGTGAACATATCTAATCCTCCTTCCTCTTGTTTTCCCCATAACAACAACCTTGTGAGGTGGGTAGGGCTAAGAAAGAGTGACTGGAACAAAGTCACCCAGTGGCTTTCTTATCTCACCACTTGAACTCAGTGCCTCCTGGTTTCCAGCCAGGTGCCTTAACCACTAGAGCAGTGGTTCTCAACCTATGGGTCGGGACCCCATTTGGGGTCAAACAACCATTTCACGGGGGTCACCAAACAACGCAGTCCGCCATTTTTTCCCCCTTTTCCTTAGCTGTGCTACTCCCTTTTATTCTATTGGCTTTTGAAATAGAGTCTAATAGAGTCTAATTCTATTGGCTTTCAAAAGCCAATAGGAATTGTCCAGGCTGTCTCTGCCCTGCTGAGCCTGCCAAAAGTCCCATTCTGCAAATGGTGCTGCACCAGTTGAGTAGTCCTCGACTTACGACCGGTTGAGTAGTTCTCGACTTACGACCGGTTGGGGGTCGCGGCATTAAAAAGGTTGAGAACCACTGCACTAAACTGGCTCTATTACTATCCTGGACTTTATCTTCACCCCAATTTTTCTTTTAGTCCAGCAGCTTCTTTCACCTGCCTGCTGACAAATCTTATTAGTGTATTTCTTGGATTTTTTGCATTTGATTATCCTTATGAGAGAAGAACCTATGGACACCCTTAATCTGAAAGCTTTAATTCTGGCAATTGTTCAGCCTTAGATAAGACATTCATTAAAGTAGCTGTTTCTGCTTTTTCCCTGGTTCCTCTAATTCTCCACATTTCTTTTACCCTGATCCTGCATCTTGGCCAGATCCAATTGAATTTTTCTGAGCTTTTGCCACATCAAGCTGGTTTTTCCACAGAGCATCGGCCCCTCAGCAAGCGGTCTGGGCAGGCCCTGAGCCCAGAGGAGTCAAGCCTTTCCTCGGCTGATTCTTTTGTTTCGATGTTCCTGCCAAGCCCTTCCGAATCCAAGGGGCTGATTTATCCCCTTCCTCCTTTAACTCTGTTTTAAGCTCCTTTGCCTCATTTTTTAACCAAATCAACCTTGAGTCTCTTTCTCTCGGCCTCAGCTTTCGCGCGCCCCTGATGAGGCCTTTTCTTCTTTGCTGCTGGGGTCCTGGACTATTCCCTCTCAGCCTGAGTTCATCCACCATTTCAAAGATGGCTCCTTTTTAGGCCTTGTTTCTCTTGCTAGCCTTGGCAGTTGACCACATACTAGTTAAAGGACAAGGGCAGGCCTCAGCTCAAAAGTTGAGCTGGGAAAGGAGCAAAGGGTTTGGCAGGCTAGAGAAGATCCCAGACAAGATATTGGCTTTAAAACCCACAAATGGTTCAGCACTCTGGTGTCAAAAATGTTTCAGACTCTTTTCATAATCACATATAGACACAGATTGATTTGCATCTAATTTATTTATCATAAAAGTACCCGAATCCTGCCCGGGCCTTGAGGAGCCCATCAGAAGCATTACGTCAACTGTCCGGCTGGCTAATTCAATATTGAAGAAACTCCACGGTCTTGAGGTGCTGTAAGAGATAATTTTTATTGAATACACATACCGGCAGTGAAGAATCAAAATCAACTCTAGTTTTCCCACACGAAAATCTGGTTAGTTAACAATAGCTTTTCATAATCGTCACCTACCATGTGTTCATATTGCTCAATCACATCCTTTCTCTGTGTTATGGGAACGGTCCACATCTCCATCAAACACCTGCTTTTGATGACCTTGGGTATATATATGTATATATGACTGAAGGTTTAAATAAACCAGATTATTTTAGTTCAGGAATGTTTGGTATTACAGAACTCAGTTACAAAGTATAAAGTGAAATGCTAGCAATAGTGCCTGATTGTTAAAACACAAATGTTGGCAACATTTTCCAAGAAAAAAAACAGTGCAAGTCTCTTGGCTTTCTTTGTAATGCCATTCTGTTCTGGTTCTGCATTGCCCTTTTATTAAAATACCTGTTTCAATAGGTACTAGTCTGAAACCAAGTTTATAAATGCAAGTGCTTTCTTAAAATAATGTATTTTAAATGTGTATTGTGATGATTCCATCAGCTAGGTGGTGCATTGGTATATTTAAAGTAATTTGAAATTATTTACACATAAAAAGATTCTGATGATAATATTCCAGAATTCCCAGGTAATGAGAGATATAAAGAACATACATGTTTGCCATTTTGTGCAATTCATTTTATCATGACACTAGAAATTCTGGGAGTTGAAGTCCATGAGTCATAAAAGAGCCAAGGTTGCCTACCCTTGACCTGGAAGAAAAGCTTCCACAATATGCATCTGGATACCTGAAGCATAAACTATTTCTATTACTTTCAGTAGGAAAGCCACATTAACTGTCAATCTGCTTTCCTTTTGATTCCCTGCTCTTAGGTTACTCATGAACAATTTCATTTCCACTGAATAAATGGGGACTGGTCCCATTCACATTGAGAAATCAGCGTTTCTCCAATAACCTTAATGAAATGCTGATGCACAAGGTCACCGCATAAGAACATTGGCCAGTCTCACCAACACTGACAGGGCAAGCCATTAGAATGGAGCGCAAACCCCACTCCCTATTGGCACTGATGATGTTCCCTAGTTGGGTAATGAAATATCTGCAAGAAAACCACCAAACTCAAGAGAGAACCAAGCACTCTTCATTTCAAACCTGAGCTACTAATATTCTCCTCTATCAGTTTAGCAATTAGTCAAAAAAGAAGTAGGGATTAAATGTGAATGTAAACCAACTGATGTACTAAAAACGATCAGTTCCACAGATTGCTCTTATTCTATAAAATATGTTAGTTTGGGGCACTCTGTTGTAAAGGCACCGAGTTATCTGTAGCAGGTCTTCTATTTTGAAATGAAAAATGCTGTTTGATACAGACAAATATGAATACAATCCGTTCCGTAGCTTTATTGTTGTTTTATTCTTTTAAAGAACTTTCATGGCATCCTATCTCACACGGTGATCACAGCAACCAAGAAAAATAACAGCATAAATAACCCATTGCTCCCTTCTCATCAAGAGGCCCAAACCCTCCACTTGTTAACCCTGATTCAGCCCTCTCCTAGCCCAATGTTGAGGGGGGGAGAAGTTTCACTGTCTTCTGGGACCCCCTAAACCTCAGGTGGGAGTTTATTCCAAAGGAAAAAGGGGGGGCTACAGAGAAGGCAAACTTCTGGGGTCCCATTAGGTGACACCATTTGGGGGAGAGGACCTGGAGAGCACCCACCCTATCTAATCTAGTGGGATGGCCACAGTCCCTTAAGGAGAGCACAGATAATCTGCATCTTGAATTGCAACCACAAAGCAACCTTTGCCACAGTGGTGTAACATGGTTGAAATATGGAGCACCCAGAACCGCCCCCATTGCATTCTGGACCAGGTGCAGCTTCTGGGTGGTTTTCAAGGGTGGCCCCACATGGAACATGCTGTAGGAATACAGTCAGGACGTGACTGAGAACAAGGCCCTTCTGTCTCTGCCAGGGCTGAGTTGCCTCCGGTCTCTCCCCCATCCAGGCCCTTCCTTACAACCTGCAGGCACGGAGCAAAATCACCAGCCCAGCCCAGCCCAGGGTGGAGATGTACATCATTAGTGCAGCCCTGTCTATTTTTAGTTTATATGGATATTTAAAATGCATATGAGGGATATTGCTTCATTAAAACAGTCAGTTCGGTTTAAAACATTGATACCCCAATCCAACGACTCAAATTAATTGGAGAAAAAAAAAGTATTTCTAAATCACCAAGTTGGTTAGGAGACATCTGTTGTGACACCAGATTTGATGTGACTTACTAATGGAGTTTGGAAAGTCCACTCATCCACATCTAGTCTCCAGTTCAGTGTTTTGTACAGCCTGGTGCCTACACAGAGGGCGGGGGTGCTATGTGCCTTTTTGCTGTGTGTGGGGGGGGAAGAAGTTAGGTTAATAGAGGGCAGTTTCCCACTGTAGATATCAACCTTTTAAAATGAAAAAAAAAACTACCTTGGCTGTAGTTCAGAAGGAAATGGAAATAATATCAAATTACTGATATTTTCCAACCTTTTACCAATGTTAACCATTCTAATGGGCATTCTGCTTATTACAAATTTTCTACATTTATGAGAAGGACTTTATGGTAAGAACAGACCCAGAAGGGACAACACTCAGAAATGATAAAACTGGCAAGACTTTCTCTTTAATATACCTAGCATATTCACACGTATGGCTAATTTTAAAATTCTGTTTTGTAGGCCTGTGTCATTGCACCAAGAGTTGTTAAAAGATCTTCACAGGATGAACCTGGGATCACCTGTTACCCTGTCTTGGTACAGGGCCCCGGAAGCTATAACTGAAATAGTTGGGCTCAGTTCAGGAAAATTATACAGTAATGTTTTGCGCCTGTTAATGTGTTAATTGCAACAAAGACACCTTCTTTTGTTGCTTCTGCAGATATGCTCCGCTGCATCGCTCAAATAATTTTGCTTTTTCAGCTTTTATTTATGTAAGGTGACCAACCGTCCTCCTTTAGGGAGGACAGTCCTCCTTTTGTGAGTTCTGTCCTCCCTCGAAAAGTGTCCTCCTGCATGTCCTGTTTTTTGATATTTGAAGACTAATTTGCAGGGCTTTTTTTTCTTTCTCATAGAACGCTCAGAACGGCGTTTGGGCACCTTTTTAATGTTTTTTTTTTCCAAATTTTGCATAAGCTGTGCTACTCCTACTATTGGCTTTCGAAAGCCAATTAAGAATTGCTGCTGAGCGCGCCAAAACACCCAGCTGGCAAACTTTGCACATGCAAGTTGTCTGTATTATTGTTGCAATGAATAAAATGTTTCTTTTATTTACGATATTTTTTTCTTCAATTTATTTGTGTCCTCCTTTTCATTGCAAAAAAGTTGGTCACCTTAATTTATGATCACCTTTTTCTCCACTCCCCAATTCTCCTATGCCTTCATATATGCAAACCAAGCAAGAATTAGAAACATGCTTTTTTTCCTAAGTGAAAACTGGAAAATTTCCTAGAATTTAGAAAGAGGCTATGGGATAGGCTATGTGAAAATCAATTTTAGCTATGTTTGAAATAAAAAAAACAAACAAACGATACAATTTACTGGTTGCTTTGCTTTTCAAAACATCAGCATTCTGAACTCACTTAAATACCCCCAAATACAGTAAAATATACAGTGCAAGCCTGTCCATGATTAATTGGACTAAATGCTGAATATGAAGATTGTCAGATTGTCTTTCAATTGAAGCTGGATTCATAATGATACAGTTAAAATTCAACAATTAAGTAGGTTTCTTTTTTTAAAAAAATGCATCTAAATAGACATCAAGTATATAACTTACTAAAAGCATTTTAGCTTATTTCCAGTCTCAACGTCCCCTTTTGTTGGGTCCAAACACCACAAAGGTCTCCTGAATGGATTTATTTTGGGTGGTGGGAGGGGGCTGCATGATATATTGGGTTCTCCCCCATCAGGAGCCAGCTTGGGTGTGCCTGGGAACTCGGTAATGCTCTGATTTGATACGTGCCTTTTTTTCTTGTGGATTGGCGTACTTCCACTTAGATGGAGTCATTTTCAGCTTTTTCCTCTTCTTATCTGTGCACCACACTTTTTCACAATATTCCTCCACTCTTTGAAAATTGCTGTAGCCTATCAGTTGCAGGAACTCCTTGTACCACGGCCTTGATCCATGGGAGATGCCGCTCTGTGCAGGGCAGGGCATTTTCTGAGCTAGATCCTCTTCGTAGTCCCTGTTGAACATGTAGTCTACGCGTTCCTCTTCCACGACTTCCAGGGTGATTTTTCTCACTGTGTGAACGATGCTGTGTTCCACTGTCTGGCAAAAATACGTTCCAGCATCCATTCGGTGCAGTCTTAAAAACAACAGGCCAATGTCCATTTTAAGAATCCTCTCATCAGCCTTTACCTGTGTGCAAGTCAAAGAGGAAACTGTTTCATCCATTGGAAGGTTACAAAAAAAATCAGACTGATGAAACTAAGATTGACTAGCAATAAATGACTAAAGTGAGAAATATATTTACATTTCTAATACAATTGCACACATGTGTAACTGAACTGGGTTTAGGGGAAGAGTCTAATAAACGTATCAGTAAAATTTAGAAAATTTTGAATAAGATGCAGGAGTGTTAAATTCAAATAACTTGAAGCACAATGTACCCCAAAGTTAAGTTTCTGAAGGCATGACTAGTTTTACTGATTTATTTATAGTTCTTTTCTGAATACCCTTTTGGTCTAGAATAGCGGTGTCAAACTGCCGGCCTGTGGACCGGATGCATCATGGCGAACCTGCACCCACCCCACTGCCGGCAATGGAAAAAAAAGTTGCGATATGTCGCGACACGTGACATTGCGAGTTTGACACCCCTGGTCTAGAAGTTGCCCTTAACATGGAAAAAAAGAAAAAGAATTTAACTTCCTTGTTTAAAGTAATCACAGCAGATCTGGGACTCAGCAGCACCAATTCTCCAGAATGGCTGAGGACTTGAATGAACTTTGTTCCATTCAGAATCTGTCATACGTATGTTGCTGTTTATGTTCAATTAGCTATGCTGAACAATGCTAAAACTATTTGGGGAAGAATATTAGTGGAAGTGTGAAAGGCGTCATCACAAACTCCGCGGGACTAAGGGAACGTACGCAATGCTTCTTCGATAACAATATTTCATGAAATAGAAGCAGTGCTTGATGGTCTCTGTGTGTGGGTGTGTCTTCCAGCCATGACTCTTTCTGAGCTGAACCTGACAAAACACTGAACGTAGTGACGGGGGGGGGGGAGGCATAGAAGGAGTTAGGTTCCGTTTCAAAGGGCAAAATGAGACTGGGGAGCACAGGAGCAGCACCTGTTGGGAACACCTGAAGCCGCTGGATCTCCCAGCTAGAACCCTCAGGAAGACAGGCGCCCTCTGCACCTCTACCCCTGTACCTCCAAATCACACGTTGCCCTTTGACACCAGGTGATCTGCACAGCCTTAGAAAAACCCCAGGAAATCAAGAGCAGGGCCAGGGCAACGGTAATCCCAAGTACCTCTTCTTTCCGGGCTTCGTGAGCTCTCTGCACAAACCAGATCACTTTGGCTTGCAAGGTCCTGGGGATACACTCCAGGAGAGTGCTGTTGTGCTCTATGCCGTACGCCAGCCGTTCCTCTGTCTTGCCCAAGGCATCTCCTGCAGACGGCGGGAGACACGCATCAGACACGCATCACTTGCCCTACCGACTTCTAAAGAGAAACTGATGTTTGCTTTTAATGTGCAAAAATAGAAAGTCTCTTTTATCGGGTAGCAACCGAGCATTCAACAGGGAGGACCTTCCCCCTACGGCCTACTTTTGGAGCGGTCACCAATATAGAAAATATTCCGCTGGTTTTCTTATGTAAACAGTGAGCACATCCGCACATCTGCTTTGCCACGCTTACCTCCGATCGCAGAATTAACAGAAAATCCTATCAACAGACAAAGCCCTGCCCTCTCACCCGACCCTGCACACATAACATCTGAACTGGAGCCAAGTTACGATGTGTACGGCTTCTCCATGCAATAATGTAAGATGAGGCCTTGGTTTCCCCTGCCTGAGATTCGAACACAAAGTAGGAAATGTACCCCAATTACAGTAAGTGGTTCCAGCAGGGTGCTGCAGCTGCCACCAGCAGGGTGCTGCACCTGCCAAAAAAGCCAACACAGTGCTGGGCTGCATTAACAGAGGGATATACTCAAGATCACGTCAAGTATTAATACCACTTTACAATGCCTTGGTAAGGCTACACTTGGAATACGGCATCCAGTTTTGGTCACCACGATGTAAAAAAGATGCTGGGACTCTAGAAAGAGTACAGAGAAGAGCAACAAAGATGATTAAGGGACTGGAGGCTAAAGCATATAAGGAAAGGTTGCTGGAATTGGATATGTCTAGTTTAATGAAGAGAAGGACGAGGGGGGACAAGATAGCAGTGTTCCAATATCTCAGGGGCTGCCCCAGAGAAGAGGGAGTCAAGCTATTCTCCAAAGCTCCTGAAGGCAGGACAAGAAGCAACAGATGGAAACTAGTCAAGGAGAGAAGCAACCTAGAACTAAGGAGAAACTTCCTGACAGTGAGAACAAGTAACCAATGGAACAACCTGCCTCCAGAAGGGTGAATGCTCCAACACTAAAAGTTTTTAAGAAGAGACTGGACAGACTTTTGTCTGAAATGGTGTAAGGTTTCCTGCCTGAGCAGGGGGTTGGACTTGATGACCTCCAAGGTCCCTTCCAACTTTATTATTATTATTATAAAATCCGCCTGCCTCCTCTGATCCACCCAAAAGACTTCACATGATCTTGATACCCTCCCTCTGCTGATCCGACCTAGGACTGCATTCACCCGCTTAGGGCAGCCCTCAGCCTGTTGCAAACTCCCAGCTGCACGATCTTTCCTGCAGAAAAAAAAATAGTAATAATTACCTAGCAATGGCTGGCCGAAGCACTGCTGAGCTGCATTTCCATGACGGATATCTTGTCTACGGAAGCGTCTGAGCAAAATGAAAAACAATTCGCAAGCAGCTGAAAACTCATGGTTGTGACTGCAAAAGGCAGAAGCCTCTATCAGGAAACGGATGTTTTCAAAGTCAGCGGGATGGAAACAGGCTGTGTCCCCTTAGAGGTGACCAAGGAAGCTTCACTCCAAGAGATAATATGGGGATGTATCAGAGTTATCTGGGTACAACTCAGTGAATTACACACCACGCTGAGGCCATAATCTTACCATCGTCTAGTACGGGGGTAGGCAACCTTGGCTCTTTTATGACTCGTGGACTTCAACTTATGAGCCGAGGTGGCGCAGCAGTTAGGGTGCAGTACTGCAGGCCACTTTAGCTGACTGTGTTCAGCAGGTCAGCGGTTCAAATCTCACCGGCTCAGGGTTGACTCAGCCTTCCATCCTTCCGGGGTAGGTAAAATGAGGACCCAGATTGTCGGGGGCAATGAAAATATATATATATATATATATATATACATTGCTTACTGGTGTATACCGCTTAGAGAGTGCTTGCACTTAAAGCGGTATATAAGACTCATAAATAAATAAATAAATAAATAAACTCCCAGAATTCCTGAGTCAGCATGGCTCAGCTTGGAAACCTCTCCCTTTCCCCTCAGCATGGCTGGCTCAGGAATTCTGGGAGTTGAAGTCCACAAGTCATAAAAGAGCCAAGGTTGCCTACCCCTGACCTAGGCCTAGACCGCTTTCTGACTCGTAAACTTCAACTCCCAGAATTCCTGAGCCAGCATGGCTCAACTTGGAAACCTCTCCCTTTCCCCTCAGCATGGCTGGCTCAGGAATTCTGGGAGTTGTCCACAAGTCATAAAAGAGCCAAGGTTGCCTAACCCTGGCCTAGGCCTAGACTGCTTTCTGACTCGTAAACTTCAACTCCCAGAATTCATGAGCCAGCATGGCTCAGCTTGGAAACCTCTCTTTTTCCCCTCAGCATGGCTGGCTCAGGAATTCTGGGAGTGGAAGTCCACGAGTCATAAAAGAGCCAAGGTTGCTTACCCCTGGTCTAGTATTTGTCACATCAGTCTTACAGCAATGCAAGCATTAAATGCCAGTCTGCTAAAGAGAGACCTGACTCTCTTTTTCTGGCAGAAATGGGTGGGAAAACTGCACATTGGCAGATGGGACCAGATTTTCTCGCTGTAGTGCAGAGATGCCTGCAGCCTCTGAAAGAGAAACTGCCTTCGCTTTGCTTTTTTCTCCTGTCCAATGTAACCCATGCTCCACTGCCAAAATCAATTTCAAGTGAATCAATGCACATTGCCAGCATGACTCTTTTCCCCTCTCTCCTTCAAATGTGGTTTATCGTTTGCTCCCAAAACGCTTCAACGCAAGTAAAAAAAATTGCCTGACCTGCTTCTGCGCTCTTCTCTTTAGTACTGTTTGAATCCTTTAAAATAATAACACTAATAATAAAAATAATGGCTAAGTCCACAGTCCGGGTGTTTCTTTATAATAATAATAAAAAGTACATTTCTGAAAAACAGATGCTTAGTCTGCGTTTGCAGCATGTGGTTTATCCCTTTGTACAAACTTGGTTAATATAGGCTCCCATGTGTTGTGAATTTGGAAAATCGGTTAATTCAGTTAACCAGGACACCTCTGTTTCATGACCGCAGTTTTTGATCAGAAAGGGTGTTACCAGAGGATTGTCCAGTTCATCCCAATTGGTCAATCCAAGACATCCCTCGGAAACAACCATCCAGCCTCCAACAGAGGACTTACGGTCACGTCCAGTGAGCTGAAAAAGACTTCTAAAAGGAACTGTATGGATGCCCTCTACAGCCCTGAACGGACGCCCTCAGCAAAGCATGCCATTGGAAAACAATTTTCAAATTTGGAGTCCCATTTCTAAAGAGCAGTTCTGAGTATGAAATGGATTGTCTGATCAAAAACCTCAAAGGTTTCTTGAGTTCAAAGTGAGCAGAATCTGCAGGGAATGCCGAAACCGTTGTGACGGCAGCTGTGGCCCTGCTCCTTTCCATCTTCATTATATTGATAAAAAGGGGCAGGACTTCAGTTACGCAGCTGCCGCTTTGATTTTTGTTTTGTTTTTTACCTGCTGTGTGGTCATCCCTGGTCAAAAGGCTTCAATTTTGAAACTGAATGTGTTTTGAGCACTAACGACTTCAGAACACAAAGTAGCTGTTCCGTGCTTAAAATGTGTGTTTGGAATCAGTTCAAATGCAGAATTTTTGCAAATCGCATGCCATTTCATAGGCAAAGTAAGATTCTTACCATTCTCCCCCCCCCAATATTTTATTAATTTTTTATAATTACAAATCCTTAATATTTTATCAGCAACATATTGTCTGGGTTTTAATATTTAGCTTACTAACTCCCTTCTCTCTACCTCGTTTTTCTAGCTATTGATAAAACTTATTTCATGTTCTAAAGCAGGGGTAGCCATGCTGGCTCAGGAATTCTGGGAGTTGAAGTCCACCAGTCATAAAAGAGTCAAGGTTGCCTACCCCTGTTATCCTGAATCTTCTTTCTCTTTCGTTTTCAGTGTCAATCTGTCCATTTCTGCACAGTCTAAAATTTTCTTAATTATCTCTTCCTCCACTGGTAGTTTTTCATCTTTCCAACGTTGAGCAAATACAATTCTCGCTGCCGTTAACACATGTAACCTTAAGTATACACATTTGTTCTCATGATTTCCTACAATTATACCTAACAAAAATAATTCTGGCTTGAAATCTATGTGGTTTTTAGTCGTTTTCTCTAA